ATATTTGTTTTTTATTTAGGTAATTGATTAAATATTATAATTCATTTTTCTGAAGCAAATGATAAGATTCAATTGATTATTGATCTTCTTTGAATTCCTCAATTGATTCTTTATTTCTTAATTCAAAGTTTTTTGAAAATTCTTTTTTATAATCGATATTATTTTTAATACTAATTTTAAAATTTTGATTATTGATATCTAATTCCTTTAATTATTCAAAGTTAAATTGAAATAAATCTTTTTTTAATAATTCCATTTTCTTTAAGTTTCCTTTCAAAATCCTTATTTTTCGAGAATTTTATCTTTTGTTTCTAAATTTTATTTATTTTCTACTTTTTGTAATAAATGATTTCTTTTTTTGAAAACAATCTTAGAATATATATTCGCTTTTTTTATAAATAAAATATAAATTATTTTTTTTATATTTTTTCTTTTCATTAATATTTAAATTATTTAATTTTATATAATATCATTTGATATTATTCAATTCTATTGAATTGTTAATATTATAATATTTATTTTGATAATAAGGTTTTTAAAACTTTTTGTTTTTTTAAATGATTCCTTTCTTCTTTATTTATTATTTATAAAATCGATTATTAATAAAAATAAAGGTTTCAATTAATTTAGAAAGATTAAATAGTTTCGGAACTCTTGTTAATTCATTTTTGATAATATCTTTCAATCTTTTATAAAATTGTAATTTTAGATAATTATTATTCTAAATAATATACTTGATATATTATTGAAATTTGATAATATAAATTATGATTAATCTGATCTGTTTAAATTATCGTAATACTCTTTCAATTATATAATCGAGATCTACTTCTTCGAATACTTTATCAAATCCTTATCTGAACAATTTATAATTAAGAAAGAAACAATAAATCTTAGATTTCATATTCTTATTCAATTAATTATCAATAATCTTGATTATTAGATCATTGAAAAATAATTCAATTCAATTGAATATAGTTCTTCAAAAAAAGGAAATCAATTATAAGATTTTTTGTATAGAAATCAAGAAAAGTTATTTGTTAAAGATATAATAGAGATCAATTTGTATAACAAAAGCTTAATATTTATTATAATTTTTATAAAATAAATTAAAAATGGATATCTGAATCGTTTATTTATATTTTATAATAATAATGATTTGAATAATGATTCTGATTGGGTTGAATGAAAATAATTCGATAAATTGTTAATTGAAAGTTATTATATTATATATAGCTTAATTATAATAGTGTTCAAAATGTAACAATTTGATCGAAATAATAACTATCTTAGGTTTTTGTATAATTGATAATTATAAGTTAAGATTAATAATCATTGATTATTTATTCGAAAATGAATATATTATTAGATCAATTGGAATATAAATAAACTAATTGATAATTAAATTGAATATAAAACTTTTAAATTATAAAACTATTTTAATTATATACTAATGAATATAAAGAAGTTTTATAAAACTTTAAAACTTCAAAAAGCTTCTAAAGTTTTAGAAACTTTTAAAACTCTTAAAGTTTCTTATTATATAATTAAAATCAAACTATATATCCAAATTTGCTAAAGATAAAAAGACTATATAAAACAATTATTATACAAATTTATATACAAATCATCTTGCTTTTTGATAAGGCCTAAGCTCATATAGATACATTGATTGCTGCCTCTCAATATATCCTTATCTTAATCGTAAATCGTAACACTCGGATATATAATCTGATTCTAATTATATAATAAAGAGCCCTGAAAGCTTCGAAAGCTTTTAAAGCTCTAAAAGCTTTTTGAAGTTTTAAAGCTTTATAAAGCTTTTTTATATTCATTAGTATATAATCAGAATAGTTTTATAATTTAAAAACTTTGTATTCAATTTAATTATCAATTAGTTTATTTATATTCCAATTGATCTAGTAATGTATTCATCTTCGAATGGATAATTAATGATTATTAACCTTAATCTACAACTATCAACTATACGAAAACCTGAGGCAGCTGTTGCCTCGACCAGATCATTACATTTATCTTATTCAATTCAAGATAATAATAATATTATTATTATTATAAGTTGAATAAATTGAATTGAATGATTTCAAAGTTAAATGATTCTAATAGAGTTGAATGATTTCAATAAAATTAAATTGAAAAAAGTTTTAAGTTAGATTTGTTTAAAATTATAAAGTTTATATTAAGCTTTTTGTTAGATTATTTACTAAGTTATTTTAAACCAATCAGATTGTCAGGATCATGACTTATTTAAACAAGTTTTCATTTTTTATTATTTATTAAATAAATCTTATATACAATAAGATTATAAAGTCGATAAGTCGATAATAATAATCAATTTTAAAATAAAATTTAATTAAATATTTCAAAAATTTATATTTTATTTTTAATAATTTTTTTGAAAAAGTTATTTAAGATTTTTAGATTTTAAATTTATATAAATCTTATATAAATCTTATTATTATTTTAACTTTTTATATCTTAATTAATAAAATTATCAAAAAATCTATTTATATCTATTTGAATTATTTATAATTGAAATTTCAATTGATTTTATTCATTTATTATAAAATTATTAATAAATAAATATTGTTTTTTGATATAAAAAATAATTAAAATAAAAAAATTAATTCAAATATAAAATAAAGGAATTAAAATAAATAAATTTATTTTCAAAAATCTTTTTAATGAAAATATAAATAATTTTTTTTACATAATTTAAAATTTAAAATTATAATCTATTATATAATATTTTATTTGAATATTTTATAAATTTTTATAATTTATTTTTAATAATTTTTGTTGAAAAATTATGTAAATTTTTCAAATTTTTCAAATTTATATATAAATTCTATACAAATTAAAAATCAAAATTTCAATAGATTTTATTCTTTCATTGTTGAATTATTAATAATTGAAAATGATGATTTTTGATATAAAAAGATGATCTATATTAGAAGTGGTCCAAAAGTAAAGTATTAGATTTATACTATCTTTTTCTTTTCTTTCATCTTCTTTTTCTTTATCCTCATCCTTCAATATTCAAATTAATCAATATTTATAACATCTCAATAATAAAATATCCATCCCACCTCTTCAACACTCTCCTCTTTTCACTTTTCCTTATTTACATATATCACCCCTCGCCCCTCAATATCCTGCTGCTAGACCAGACAAAATAATTATTTTGGGGTTATTTTCACCAGTGTAACTATTCCTTTTGTTTTGTTTTGCGTCGAGTTATTTATAAATCCTCCTGTCGGTACATCATGTGATCAACCTCGAAAGGGAGCCGTACGACTAGTGCATTCTAGTCCGTACCCTTTTCAATATAAATAGGTCTCTCTCCTCTAGATAAATAATAATCATCCATGAACAAATACAAGAAGATACTACTATGCATTGCATCGTATCACCGAAGTGATACCAACACCTCCCTTTCATTTCTCATCACCAAATTATTTCTCCCCCGACCCCGACCCCGAACCTATACTTTTCCTCTTCTTATTTAATCTCGTATCTGGTATTTTGTATGTTTCATCTCCCATTGAATAATATAATCTAGTGATTAATGATCCTGTATTAGTTACCATACCTTCAAAAATCATAATTGCGAAATGCATCTTTTTGACTAGTTAGATTTTGATGGTATAGTGCCGCGACGATTTATCTTGGCCTTATTTGTGATAACTTGTTGAGGTGCATTTATTGGTGTATGGTATTTTGTTTTTTTTCTTAACTGATTTTTATAACATTCTCGTCTATACCCCTTTTCCTTTTCCTTCTTTCCTTCAATCCCCAATCCCCAACCCTCATCCCTCAACCCCAACCCTCAACCCTCATCCCCTCAACCCCAAGGGTTTCCCTTTATCTGATCACAAACCCACTACTTCCCCTCTACCCAGATCGGTTATATAAAAATGAAATCAGAGAGGAGAAAAGATCTATGAAAATTCAACTAAGAGAAAAAGAAAAAGAAAAAAAAAAAGTCAACTAGTTAACTGTACTTAGTAATTAATTAATTAACTAATAAAAACTGAATAGATACCGGGAAAACACCACTTACCATCTAGGTCTCTTTGATATATATAGATATAGTCATTAGATTCTTCATTTTATAATCGTGAGATGATTTACAGCGATGGTGTAATTTGCGGGTCGAGGGGGGGAGGATTGGAGTTTTTACTTAAGCTAGGGAGTGGATGGGAGGGGATGTATTGTGTGGTAGGAGGGTGGATGGGTATATATATACAATTACCAATCGAGTATGTATAAGCTCATGGGTTAGTATCCCTCCCTCCCTCCTTACTTTGGAAATGTAAAACAAGTCGGTAGGTAGTTAAAAGGGGTAGATATTCTTATATATTTGTAACTAAATAACACTTGTAAGATTTACATAGATAAATGTAGACTTATAAAACCCATTTCATAAGATCTTACAATCATCATTTATTATCACCTACTTAATCTTGAGATTGAGGTTGGGATTGAGGTTGGGGTTATTAAACTAAAATACTTAGGTAAGATCTTACCTCCTTGTTATAACTTATTAGTATCTTATCCTGATTTCTATACAAATGGGATTGTGAAATGTACTAATGAAAACTACCCAGTACATGAAGTGTTTATTTCATTCTTTTCCTTTCATTCACTTCTTTCCCTTTAACTTCATTCCTCTCCTCTCCTCCCCTTCCTTCCCTTCCTTCCTCAAATCAATCAGAGCTGCAAATGTAAATCTTATATTCCGCTATGAGTTCATCATTATGCAGTTCTGATTGTGTTGGTGCGCCAGTGTTGGTATTGGTATCGGTATCGGGACATAATACAAAAGTCTTTTCAAGTCATGATATCCATTGATATTGTTTCCTTTCTTTTGTTTTGTTCTGTGATTTGAGTCGTTGGTATGGTGTGTATGGTATGCATTTGGTTAGGTAGGATATCGTGTCAATAGGTAGCGTAAGAGGTTGATGTTTGGATGATTTGGATGATTTGGATGATTGATGTATGCGAGGGTAAGAGAGTGGCTGGAGCATAATATTGAAAATTGGGGGAATGGAATAGTTGTTGCTGTTGTATGTATATGTATGTGTGGTTATTGTATGTACGTAATCCTTCAAAGGTCCATCATATCATATCAAATTGTAGTCTTAGTCTTAGTCTAAATATCTACATCGATTCCTGAAGTATACTCATTAGTACATCAACTCCACACCAAAAAAGGAAAAAGATTAACGAAGAAACACAAGCAAAACACAAGAAAGAAGAAAAGAAAAAGACCATAACTCACCTCTCACCTATCACCTCCCAAAACCTCACCACAAACCCCTACCAAAAAATCCCTCATCCCCTCAATCCACCCCTCTATCTCCACCATCTCTCTCTGCATCTCCCCAAAAACAACTACACCCCGATAAACCATCCTCTTCTTCTCCTCCACCATCTTATGTATCTCTGCCTGGATTTTCTCCTTTCCCTCACCACTAGTCCCATTTAAATCTTCCCTCAATTTTTGCGTGAGAAGAGATTCGAATCCTCGAAGAGTCTCGCTAATCATTTTTAAAACTCCCTCGATATCTCCTTGCTCCATTTTCTCTTTTGCGATTTTGTGGACTGCGGTTGGTTTTCCTTCTTGATGTGTAGTTACTTGCCAGATGTTTTGTTCGGGTGCCATATGTTTATTTTGTAGTTGGTGGTGAGGTGTTTCTTCTCCAGTATTTGTCGTACTAGTACCAGCCCCAGTATCAGCATCAACATCACCCCCAAACCCAGCCATCGCAACAACCTCCTCAATCTCATAAACCACCTGGATTATATCCCACAAAACACAACTCAAAGAATCTTTCCTCTCCAAAACAAATTCCCGATGACTAGTAATACGATCACCGATTATTTCCCCAACATTAAACAAAAAAGTCGAAGTAATCTTATTTTGTCCCTCCGTGATCTTCCCATCCAGCCCCATCCACGCATTCATCATGATCCTGAAATCCTCCTCCCTAACCTTTTCCCCATCTGCCTTGGATCCATCTCCTATGGTATAGTCTCCGTCTTCGTTATGCATGTTAGCTGTATAAAGAGTTTGATTAAAAGGCTCCTTGATGAAGGAAAATATATCGGCAACCCCCATACCGGTATCAATATCAATATCGGTATTAATATCGATACCTAGATTCGCTAACATAATTTGTAGCACAATGCCTCCAATAATGAGTTGAGCGCAAACCATCATGAAGAGAGCGATGACTTCGCGGGTATTGAGACCTCTTTTGGGAATGAGTAGGTTATGCATCTTGTATTGTTGGTTGGGTGAAGATCGATGGTGTAGATTGCGATTGCTGCGTTCGAGGTGGTCTGGCTGTCTCGTTGACAGTTTATCTTCGATCTTAAAATCGAAGTCAAGGTCTGCTTTGTCCTGCCGAGCGCTGGTAAAGTGTATTTATCAAGAAATACAAAGATATTCCCTCAATAAACTCTCAAACAACAAGAAGAACCGAGATACGATGAATTTGTATCCCAATCCCAACCTCACAAACCGCGCCAAAAGCAGCAAAATAACAAAATAACAAAGCAAAAACAATCACCCAGCAACCAACAACCAACAACCACTTCTTAAGCTACCAAGCTTATTATCTCGAATCTCGAATCTCGTATCTCGAAATGTACAATTTTGCTTTCCTTTCTTTCCCTTTCCTTTGCTTTCCTGTCCTTTGCTCTTGATAGATACGTTGTAGTTGTAATAATCTCAGTGGTGTAGATACCTAGAGACCCAATACCCAACCCTTGAAGAATAAACACAACTAGATCTAAAAAAGAAAAAAAGGAAAATCATAAAGACCTCAGGAAGAAGAAGTGAAAAGCCCCTTCAAAACCAGACGTCCAGGCAGGCAGCGCCGAGATACGATGCGGAGCTCATGGATGGGAATGAATGAATACCTAGATAATAAAGGTGAATATCAGTTAACTATTACCTAGTACCTAGTACCTCGATACCTAGTTAATGAACAAATAGGATTTGAATTTCGGATAGAGAGATAGATAACATTGATAGTATGAAATTTCTATGATTTCTTGATTTGAAAATTTTCATCTATCTATCTGTTAGTACCTAGGTAGATATCAGTATGAATGAAAGATTAAAGATTACTACCTAGGTAGCTTCATAAATATCAAAAGAAAAGAAAACATTCATATACTTATCAAAAAAGTAAAACTGAAGTAAAAAAATACATTAAGATTATATTTACACTACCTACCTACATAAAAGCCCAGTACCGAGTGAATTCTTTCCCACTATACACTATCCATCAGATATGATAAAATGATAAACATAAGACCTTTAACATAAACACCATCCATAGGTACCCAGGGTATCATAATAAAAGCAAAATCAAAAGAAAGTAGCCAATTTTATCTCTCTCCATCTCTCTCTCTCAGTATGCCACCACCAATCTCTCTTCTTTCTATCTTTAGATTTGGAGTTTAGATCTATATTCCAACTTCCCGTACAGCCATCATTTGATCTCGAATCTACTCCTTTTTCCAAAAGTGTTTCAATACTCATGATTGATTCATCGCTACCTTCGGAATCTGGCTTTAGGTTGTATACCACTTTACTTTCCACTTTTCCGATGAATGTTCCTAGCTTGAATCTCTCAACAAATTGTCCCTCATCGTCCCAAACTATGATGTCGAATTGTGGTATCGTTGCATTATCGATTCGAAGTTGAGCAAGTTGACGAGCATTTAGTAGACTCATCATTTCATGTCTACCGCTTCCATCTATAGCAGATTCATATGGAAGGGATAGTGAAGATGAGTTGGAAGATTTTCCTGTCATCACACTATCACGACGCTCGCTTGGTCGGGAGAATACCGACTGTCGATTCGACGGAGGCATGATAGGTATAGCGGCAGGCATACTCGATGATCGATTTGGAGTACTGCTAACTCCCATGTTTCGATATTTGTCTCCAGGTAGTTCAATTTTTGCCCTTGGTTTACATAACTTTTGGATTACACCGTTGAAGTCAGTTGGAGCACGGATAGACCGAAGACTGGCGAAACCGGAGAAGGTGATGGATTTTGCAAGGATTTCAGTGGCTTTATCGTCGTCCGGATTTGTAATTTCCCAGTGGAGATGTTCGAGGGTGGATGATGCAAGATAGGGATGTAAGAAGATATCATTCTGGTCGTTGAGCATAGGGGAAGGACCCTGTGATAAAGAGAAGGATTTGAGGTTCTTCAAATGAGTGAAAAGTCGAGCCAGTACGGCTAGTGATCGAAGTGGCAATGATATTAGAGAAAGCGAGGTCAAACCAGCAGAACTAGGCAATGAAGCATAGGCTGATAACCCATTTGTAGTTATACCTGGAAGTGAATCGAGTCGAAGATTTTTAAGGGCTGGTAAGCAAAGTAAATTCTCGTCATTAAAAGATGTACGTGGAAAGTTCGATATATATAAATCCTGAAGCGATGGAAGACGTCGGAAAATATCGTTGAATAGAGGTGAATCAATCATGCCACCTGGGCTACAGTGAAGAACGAGTGTTTGTAAGTGCGGCCAGTTCGAGTTGAGGCCCAAGAAATCCAGATACTGTTCGGAGCGTAAGGGACCTGGTACAATCACAGGGTTTTCGGCTTTTTCAGAGGCATTATAAAGACGTCGTATGGGACTTGGTTCGATGACCCAGACTTTCTCAATGAGTTTTGACCGTGTCGACAATGCGTGAAAGAATCTTGTAAATTCATGATCGTATGGTTGATAAATTCCTGGAACACGTTCTAGGTTTGGGCATGCCATTATGACCGAAGCCACTAAATCCATATATTCATCCTGTTCCTGTTTCGTTCTGACTGGTTCTGGTAGTGAAGGGACTTTCAATGATTTGACATATTTGGCGAGTTCTGGTTGACTTCGAAGGGTTCGACGAAGGAGTCTTAATCTCGTTCCATATTTTGACTTGTATTTCTTTTTTGTATGTAAAGTCGAATCACTCCCAACAAGTTGTATATCTTCATATAGAATGACTCTCGCAGCACTCCACCATTTTTTGTTGCTCAATGCAAGACTATGCAAATCTCTCATCCAACATGTTGCACAACTTAGACTCCCCGCTTTCAGATGTGATTTCTTGAGCTCTCTCAGAATAACCAAAAGTATTTCCTCAGGAAGTCTAAGGAAACCATCTCCTGAAGATGGCTGCGGAACAAAGTTCGTCCAAGATGCAGGTTCTTGCATTAATCTTTGAGGCTCGAGAAGAGTTGATTGAACCGGTGGTCTGGGCTCAAATTCGTAACGATTGGAGATTATTGGATCTGTCTGAGACCTAGTGGGTCCATATATTGAACTTCTTGATACTGATCTAATGGAGAAATTGTTGGACACTGAAGATATATCACTGACTAGGCTGGAAATATCGTCAATTGAGGAACTAGTGCTCAAAGGGCTTCGAGGTTTTGAATCAAAGATACTCGCACTTCCAGCGGACGCCGGTCGGGGATTTCGTGGCGGAGATTGCATTTCCCACGTAATTCCTTCCCAGATGATAAGGTCGTGTTTAGAAAGTATGGGCTGAATATATGTAGGATAAGAGATCGAAATTATATGTTTTGTGTGAGGTCGTGAAGATTGAGTGAAAATATTTTGAAACTCGTGTTGGCTAGATTTACGCCTCTTTCTCAAGATCTTTCGATCCTTTCGGTCGTTTTTAACCTTGCAGACAGATTCCCGATCCTTCCGTAGACAATTGAATGAATGTGTAAACGTCGTATGGGATGTGCAGCAAGAGGAAGAGAAAGTAGCGGGACAAGTGGTTCTAAAGAAGAAGAAAACATAGTGTTAGCTAACATGTCATTTCATATCATGCTAAATGATAAATCCGAAGAGTATGACCCCGATTTGCCGCTTTTGTATATGCTACCTCATTTCGACGCCGTAAAGAGTACTGATCGCGCGCCTAGGTAGTAGAAGATGTAAATTAAGATTAGGGTGGAGCGTTTCGTACAGGGAGCCCATCCCAGAAGACGGCTAAAGCGCAGAAACAGTGAGGGAGCGACGCAAGACGTGCCCCGTAAGATACAAACGAGCCACTGATAAGGCATATGGAGTAGAGAAATCATACTATTTTAAGGCACAGCCTCTGTTGCTTTCTACTGCCACCTGTCCCATACTTGTGGAGCTCTTGTGGCGGCACGAATGCAACAATGCAAGCCGGAGAGTTTGAGCCTTTTCAAGTCTAGTAGGCACGGTGTAGACTTGAGACGGTTTTGGGGGAAATTACGATAGATCGATGCGATGATTAAAGCAGAATAGTGAAAGTAAGAGAGGAAGATAGATGCCTCCATTAGTACTATTTAGCCGAAGGGTAAAGAAATGGAGTAAATAATTGAACGATGTCTTTTTGTTTACTCTGCAAGGGTACATACCTAGGATCTGGTGGTTTTGACTTCATCTTGACAAAGTTAGGGGTTGACGGATGAATTGATGCGTTATCGTCGTCTAAATTACAGGCTTCAGCAGGTGGGGATCGGAAACGTAGATGCATGTTTGGGCCCTCTCGAGACCTTGCAACTGTCTCAAACACCATAAATGCATCAATCGCTGCAAGGGACCAGCCAGATATTGGTCTGTTGAATGAAGTAATATAAAATCCGGGGATCTAACTTTTAACTTTTACCCCATAACAGCAGCAGCTCTATCAGCTTGAACGACTCGGCAGCTTCTTCTTATATACATATAATATACTCTTACTTCTGCTTCAATACCAAATAACCACAACATTCACATCATCAAAACATCCGCGTGATCGATCTCGCCCATCGTCTAACACAAAGTTGGCTTCACCGGGTTTAGAATCATGTCTTATAAATTGACAGATTCCGATTGCGTGGGAGTTATCTCTCGGTTTATTGGAGAGCATTCTCATATGAGCCCGAACCACCACACGAAACATCAAATCCCCACGAGTTCCAGGACATCATCTACACCAATGAAATATCAGATCTGCTGCTCTGAGCTGCTGTGTTGCTGCGGGTGTGCAGTTCAACACATGTTGTCAAAACACCACGTTATTTGGCTAAACTCGCGCCAATAATGAAGGCGGTTCGGACGGCATGAGTCAACGCCACAGTCTACACAACAGGCGGTTTGAAGATCAAACTGACGATCTCTCCCGCTCATTAAATTTCCATGTCTTTCATTTCTCATATATGTCCCGAAGATTTGCATATATTCATTTACGATATGCTTTCGCTAGGAAGGCTGACTTGAGTGTGGATTGAGCCGAGAAAAACTCAGCCCCGAAAGCTATTGGACTTGAAATGAAAACACCAATATCACGTGTCGGTAATGAGATTTCGATTTGCTCTGAATCTTGGCCTATTTTCGGGAAATTTTATGAAAGGAAACTTGGGGAAATTCCGGTCAGTTTTCGGACCTCAAGTGCGATCATCCTCGAGCATGATAGTAAAAATGATCTTGCCGTGTAGGTAGTCGCGTGGCATATTTTACAGAAAACAGTCTGAAATTAAAGACTCCATGTTTATTGCTTTTTCCTTCCGTCGAGAAAGAATTAGTTTTACTGCTGATTCTGCAGTTTTTCTGTCCGTTTGAGGTGGTGAAAGTAAGAATGAGTCTTCTCGTTCTTTTCTGATCAAAGCTCACAATTCGTAAGATTTTGAGGACGATCGTGACGCAGGGCCATGCGTGGAGCTAGGATGGACACTCAGGACGATAAACCACAAAACCTTTCGAGTCCCTCAACGTGGGAGCGGTCTGCCAATTTCCCTCCTCTTCGCCGTTACCTTTTGACTTTCTCCCTGGTTCTTTTACTCCCTCATCGTCTGCATCACTCTATCAAATATATCTATATTCTATTGTTACCGGAGTATTGCACGCTTGTCGGGATTTGCATCACGAACAAATTCCATCGGATATTGCTATGGTTACAATCCTTCCCTCATATGTATCCTGCTTACAATGCAAATTTGCCCTCTTCATCCCTTGTCCAAAAACACTTAAACTTGTGTCGACCGTCTACCAAGAAAGGATAGTATTGATATTGGCATGTTTTATACTGATATTGACAACCTAGTGCTAGGCTCAGATGGCGAAATTTTTGTTAAAGCCTGAAAATTGAATACTGGTCTGTTAAGTGCCTCATGATTCCAATACGGAAGTAAGTAGAGTTACTTCATGTTGGAGAATGAATGTTGCAAATCGACCAATCCAGTCGACAGTACGAACATCGAGCTTTGCCCCTTCCCGAGAGCTTTGGATGGCGAAAGTGGTAAATAATGATTTCAATAACGTTGGTCAAAAACACGCGTATTGAGAAAGCAGAAGGTGCTCGCACCTCTGAGTACGTAAATGACTTATCTACGTACCAACCCAACAAACAAATACAACTATACGCATCAATCGCGATTATCAAACCATCGGAAATCACACTATTCTTTCGGCGCCTATGCAAGCTACAAGTTTTCAAATATGGCGAAAGGGATAATTATCCGAGAACTTTCCCAAAAACGAGAAAGAAAAAACCAAAAGACGACATCATTTACACCATTCCCACGCCTTCCCCGAAGCTTCGAAAGGGAATATGGAAGTGAGCAAGCTTCAGCGACCTTCGGGAGATCAGTATCGAAGAGCATTCCCATTGTGAGAGGTTCGGTGGTGATGATGGATACAAGTGCAAAAGCATTGTACCCGCAGTCCAGCGGACATGCGGGGAGTGTTGGGCTGGAGGTGTGTATCATTACAAGCTAATGGGATGGGTTCTAGAATGAAAAAGTATAAGTCGAGATGAGGAAGAAGCCTTGGTAATGGATTTGATGCCGAATAACAATCATTGAGAGGTTGAGTTTTGAGAGTGAGTTAATATGGCATTAGATGAGAAAAGAGAATAAGAGATTTTAGGAAAACGAATAATAGGAGAGTCAGGGTTCCAGGGGTATTTTGGGGACAATGAGAGGTGCAACTGTAAGATGTCTATCTCCTCTCAAAGTTTGTTAGTTATGTATTCCATGCAACCACATACCAAACTGGAAGAACAAGTCATCGGCCGTCACTCGCCTACTACTTAGCTGTGATTGATTCATCGATTCATTCCAGGGACTGATTACCTACCTAGTCCACAAAGTATATTATCAGCTGACCAACACTGTCCCTTCCCCATTTGCAGCAAATGCCAACATCTTCACTTATCTCTGGACGAAATACTTCCAGAAAAACTTCAAATCTTTCATCCACAATGCAATGTGATTTTTCAAGATACTAGGTAATTCATTCTACATTCGTCACCTTCAGCCAACTACTACTGTAAGCATCTTCCTATGGATATTCACCAACAGGTCTCCAAGTTTGATATCTTTTGTCGTTATAAGTTCGGAGGCTAGTATTGTTATCGTCATTGTCATTGTTATTGTTCTTGTTTCAATTTCTCATCATTGACATACTATCTGAGCGGTCGCTTCGAGACCCAATAAAGAATACTGGTAATTTCCTCGGTGTTTCCAGTTGTTTTTATTAAGATATCATGGAATCTTCCCGATCTACCTTCTCCCTTCTCCCTTCTCCCTTCTCCCTTCTCTCCTCACATCACCACTTTCCATAGCCACCTCCAAGAGCTATAATACACTCTCAACCTCATCCTCAATCCATTTCTTTTCTTCTCCAGTTCACAATTCTGCATGCCACATTCTCACCAAAGCTCAATGTCTTTCAAGACTCAATATGCAATTCGAGGCTTTCCATAACCTTGATCGCAAAACTCTCTACTTTCGTATTTCAATGCTCACTTTGTCAATCATAACTGCCATTTTATTTATTTATATCATCTTTGCTCTCAGCAGGGAATAATAAGACTTTGGTGAGTTTGTTTTCGATTCATTACATATTGCATCGATGAACTGACCAGGACTCAGCAGACAAAATCCCAAAAAGTGCATGTGATTTCATGACTTCACTTCACTTTCAACACCACTCCAAATAACTTTCTCACAATATACTTTAACAATGGACAGAGGAGAAATTTACTGATTAATGAATTTTAGATATGCTCTTTTCATCAACTGAAAGAGAAAACTGTGCAGCGGTTAGAAGTCCGTTAAAAAGATTAGCCACGTGGAAGTTCACAGCTACCATTAAATACGTACGGCACAATCACTTGCATTGCATTCGCTTTTACTATAAAGGTTGTTCGTTCCATCATCATATTCTAGTTCCTCATCATGTGCTTCCTTCAATTGTCGACTCTCAGTGACTGATTTATTCAATACTGAACAGAATCAACTTATTTCCAATCACAGTCATCGGAATCCAAGCACTAAATTACCCACCAACTTGCATATTCACTATGGCGTCAGACAACAACTCGGACGAGAAAAGCTCAACAAAGATACTTCGAATTGATAACGCTGAAGAGTTCCCTGCACTTTCATCAAATTCTAAACCTTCAGGAGAGAAGACTGTCACCACATCTAATTGGGGCTCATTATTTCCATCCAAAGTGCCGAAACCCCCCTATTCCATCCATCATCCTTCACCTTCACACCATCGTTCCCTTCCACCTCTTCCGACTCTTCCTGTTACACCCCAAAAAGAAATGTCTTCTCCCAGAAGTCATTCAATTGGGAAAAGAGAGCATGTACTTCTATCACCTACTAATGCAGAATGTACGAGTATTATGTCTGACGAAACAATGACTGAGGTAGAGGAGGCAAATACACCTTGGAATTCCCCGACTGAAAATAACGATAATAATATTTCTGTTGTCAAAGACGGAGATCTTGGAGGCGGGGCTACAGCGGAATTTCCGGATTCCATTGCAATAGAGACAACAAATCCGCCACAAAAAGAGCTTCTTCCTCCATTCAAATTCCCAGACAGTACAGCAATGCTAAAAATCGATCATTACAATTCTTCGCCAAAACTCGCAAAGGTAAAGAATATGGAATTCGAAGAACTATGCGAAGCAGAACGCCATGATACTCCTTCTTATATCGAAGGAGGCTTACCTTTATTAGATGTGGTGATGAATGATCCACACAGAGTGATACATGCTATCAAGCATATGATGCAGGGTATTATTTTCATGAAAAGGGCTTTGGGCGCTCCTCGGGATGAACTCGAACACCTTATGAATGCTCACTCAAGTACGTTGGATCGGATTGATGATCTTCGCGAGAAGGAGAGGCTTGCGAGGTTATCCATTGAGAGAAAAAAATCAGAAATTAAAATGGCGCAATTGGTCACTGAAAACGAACATATCATTGCTTTCAAAGAGATGGAACATCCAAAGTCTGCTACTAGGTTCAATCCCGACGCCGTAAGTCTTGATGTGTTTGAACCTCTCAAACAGAAACTGCTAACTGAATTTTGTAGAAACCTTTTTCCCCGTCCCGTTTTATGCCATCAAAATTTATGAGTCCCACACCTCCATTTGCAACAGTGCCTACTATACAGACAATATCTCCGTTGAAATATTCGATTCTTCAGGAACCAGGATTCATGGTAGAACAAAATCGCAGCCTCCACACACAAGCAAAATTTCATCCACTTCTCAATAGATCTAGAACATGGTCTGCGCAAAGCCGTCAACGTACTTCATTTAGTCCCTATATTCATTTCAACGCATATCGCCCAAGCCCCATGACGCCCATTTTTCTCCACCAGGTACCATCGCCACCGCCCATGGTTTCTTCACAGTTGCCATGGAATTTCCTTTCAAAATCTGTTGATTCTTTCCAATATCAAACTACTCTTGTTCAGTCTCCACCCCAGTCGCCAAAGCCAATTCAATCACAGGTCAATATTTCGTTGGTAGATAAGTCAATGCTGCGGACACCAGTGTCGGGAAAGACAGATCATAGGTCTACTCCTACCTCACCGACCAGACATCTGTCGGCACATTCATTATACAAAGCTAGCAGTACAAACACTAGTCCACAGAGAAGTATATCTACTAATCAAACGGTCCACTCACCACAACTCTACAAATCAAAGCTATACTCATCTAAGAACCTCATTCCCCCGACAGCTACCGCCGAAGATATTCAAAGAGCTGTGTTGCTACTCCCACGAAGCTACCGCCACATATGCCCTTCTTCCTTCACGACACCTGACTTCAAATGTCCAGTACCAAATTGTATGCTCCAGCAGATCTGCCCAGATTTTACAAGTGAGAATGGCTGTTCCTTTCGACCACCTCCTCTCAGCGACTGGCCCTGGAAATATCCACCTAGAGGTCCTCTTATCAACCAATCTCAACAGTGTAAATTCGTGCATATCCCGGGTACCTGTCTTCACTCTCTCTCTTTTTACCGTGTCTCCGGATCATCGTTCGAAAAAACACTTGAAAACTCTTATCCCGCAACATCAAGTCATTACTGTCCAATACCCAACTGCGCAGCAACCCGATTCCACAATTGGGGATGTGCCAAGGATTGGAAAACCGGATTTACAGTCAATGGTCTTACACCCTGTATTCCAAGCTACAATAATACAAACCACCCACAAGCGCCCAGCGAAAATTCTTCAGAATGGCGATGGAGACTTGCGATGGAAGGTTTAAGATTTGCGCATGAGAGAGGAGAATATGGATGTCAAGGTGGAAGTATACCAACTAAAGCATCATTCCCAAGAGGACACAAGGGGGCGGATTTGGGGAATTGGGCTCTAGACATTTGTACTCGGAAGTCCAAGTCGAGTAACGGGAAATCACATGCAAAAGAGGAGAGAGGTCGTTTGAGGGGTGGTAGTGGAATGGGAAGTACTAGAAGACGTGGAAGTCGAGGAGGTTCGTCTGATACGAGGAGGAAGCCAACGAGAGAGAACTCGACAAAATTAGCCAAAAAAATCGGTTCCGACAACAATTTTAAGGTAAATCTGTGGTTTCCGGAGAGTGAATAATATGGAAAGATCTCAAACTTTGGGCATAAACGAGACAATTAATTACGCAGGATATCGATGGAGTTGGATGAAGATACTCTTTGATATGGTATGGTTATGTAAAGATAGGTAGGATACCCAGAGCGTGCGAACTTTATTTTCTCGCTTGTGTCTGTTATCTGTCGCTTTTGACTTTCTTTCGGGAGTTTTGTATCTATATAGTAGTAGACTGTCAGTCGGAGATTAGAGAAGATTAGTTAATATTTAGTAATCTTAATAACATCCTTTGGGGGATGCAGAATATAATATAATGATCATGAATAGAATAAATTTTTTTATTAAATTGATAAATAGAATCTTTGCTACCTTGGATCTGATGTAAGAGGTATGTACTGGTATGCATATTCATTTACTTCCTTTCTACGTCTTTCCTAGGCATGGATGGTATGTTGATGTATGATCTTATCTGTAGTTATAATTAGTTATTTGTTCAATCCGTCGGAGAAAAGTCAAGAACTATGTAGCTGGAGTCTATACAGATGCGAATGTATTGTATTATATTATATTAGCCTTATCTTCATATTTTATACTGTAAAAGTGGTAGGTCGAGATACGTGCATCCTGATAGCACATTGTGAAGAGGGAATTGGAAGAGAAAGCTGAATTAGATTATATTGTAATACATCATTTATAAGAAAATAGGGTTCACAATGGTTTTGGGGTTGATATTATATAAGTTCAAATGTATATATATAGAAGATTGATTATCTTTAAAAAAGAAGCAAAAGCTCTCTTTTTATATCTAATTACATAAGATCATATAATTGATTAATTAAAAACCTCTATGTATTTAGCTTATAATTCCAACTTTCTTACAATACTTTTATATTTCTTGTAGGATGCTTATGATTTATGATTTGTTTAATCTTATTCATGATATTGAAAATCAGAGTTGAAGGTTGGAGTTAGAGAGGGGGATTTTGGATTTGTGTATGTGTGTGTATAGATGTGTAGATGGATGGATAGATGGATGGAATGGAATGGTATAGTATGGATGGGCTGTATAATGCGAGGGAGGTGAGTAGGCACCTAGGTAAGATCTTACTAGGTAGCTGTAGGTGTGTTTATAAGATTTTATAATATAATCTTTATCCATCATATCCATCCAAGCTTACTCATATCCATTTCATCCAACGTCAAGAATTAATCTACAATCCAAAACCTAAACTCTACAATGTAAACGTAAACGTAAAACCAAAAACCTAAACCCTATAATCTCCCCACCCCAACCCCAACCCCACCCCACCTAACACTATCCATAAAATCAATCACCTCAATCATATCCCTACACTCCATTAATCTCATTCTTTCCTCTTTATTCAATAGAGATTTTCCTGCATTTCCTCCTTCTTTCCCTTCACCCGCAGAACCACCACCCCCGGAATTCCCACCACCCGCACCACCACTCCCACACATCTCACTCAAATGATGCACAACAAGTTTAAACGGGATAGGCTGCTTGACAACACAATTCAGAAAAACATCGACGCATTCCCAGGGGGTGGAAGTGTAGCCTGCGAAGAGGGCGGGGTTGGAGAGGAGGCCGCGGGCGGACATTACGCCGGAGACGGAGGTTTGTTGCGTGTGCTCTTGGGCGGTGCGGAGGGTGGTTATGTCGCCGTTGGATACTAAAGGGGAAGTGGGGTTAGTTGGGAGTTTGAGAGGGGAGGGAGAGTTGGGCTTTGAAGGGGGAGTTGGGAGTGAAAGGGAATTGAGGGGTTGATAATATATATAGAGTAAAGGATATGGGTATGGGGAAATAGGTAAGTGGAGTTTTGAGACTGGAAATAGGATGAGGTAGGTAGTAAGAATGAAAGGATTTTGTGAGTAGATTATACTTACGAGTGGGAACTGTGGTATGTGTATTTAAAAGCTTTATAGCCTCGAGATTAACAGGATGAGAGGAAGGAGTCGAACGCATACGTCCGTGAATAGTAATAAAATCTACCCCAGCATCCTGCACGGTTTTGATAAAATCTACGGTTTCCCTATTTCACATTAGCCATACTCTGTTTCTCCCCTAATCTAAACACAACCCCTTCCCCCCCAGAAAATATACCTCAAATCCCGATGAATTCTAATCTTCACACTAACAGTTTTCTTCCCCTCAAATCCCTCTCTTTTCAAAGCACTCTTTGCTTCCTTAACCATCTCAGCAACAAGTTCACGTTTATGCATTAACGCTGCGCCGATGGAACAGGCGCAGGCCCATGATTGTGGACACCCGCAGTTTATATCGATGCCGTTTACGTAAGGGGCGATGAGGATGGTTGAGCGGGAGATTTCGAGGGGAGAGCAGACGCCGAATTGAGCGATTGTGGGACCGCTGGTGGGGGAGGTGGTAAAATCTAGGAGGAGGGGGTTAGTGGGGTTTTAGTAGGGGGTTTTGGATGGGGTGTGAGTGTGGTGGGAGGATTGTGAGGGGGATGGAGATTGATTGGAAATAGGGTATAATACAAGTGGAGGAAAGGATATGAGAGGAAGGAAAAAGGAGTGTGAGAAGGGTGTGAAAGAAGATATGAAAGAAGGTGTAGAGTAATAAATGGTCATGGGTAAGGTTAAGACATATGCATCCGTGGCACCAGAAACTGACGGCACTTGCACATTCAATAAAGTGGCGTGTGTGGAATAGTGAACTACACGGCTTCTCTGTATTTTAGCTTCCATGCGGATGGCATAAGTATTGCGTGAACTCGTGGAGCGGGTAAAGATTTTGCTGTTGGCACTACCAACCTACTATGAAAACGCTACCAAGCAGATAAACCAAGCCCCATCCAAAGGAGTAATTACGATTCTCTCCTGAAAATACGAGCCACTCGACTTCGACCAAAATGAAATGTCGAAGAAAACACAGAATTAAAAAACCACGTGCTTACTTACCAGAATCACGTGCAAACACACTACGATTAAACTCTTTTGCCAAAATCTACCTTCCTTCATCAGTACTCTTCCCATGCCCCATTCCCGTAACCCTTAAGTTGCTGATAGACTAAACATACCATAGGAGTCCAACAAAGATCAACCCCATACTGTGCAACAGTTTCTCGAAATGCAAGCTATGTATCTCATCAGCAAAGATCCAGTAATCAACCAATGAAGGAAATCATACCTTACTGTACCGAACCATAGGCGCACAGGTATATAGAGGCCTCCCTTCTTGTTTTGCTATATCGAAGAGGGTAAGAGGACTAGGTCGGGTGTTAGATCATATAGTCTGGGGGAATAGTGAAGAATTTGGAGATGAGATGAATGGTTTTCGGACTTTATATCTAAGGCGGGGTTTGATGAAGCGGTGCCATTATGCTCCATGGTGCTCATCTTTCTATTTTATTGTTTGAGATTGATGGTGCATTTTACTTGATAATGTTATAGGACGATCTCGCGATATATTGAATTTTGGTATCACAAAGTCGTGGGTAAGGAAGGGTATGGAGGTTGGGTTTAGTGCGTTCGGTAAAAGTGTTTAGGGTGTTTTGGGCTTTTTGTAATTTTGCGATTGTGGTTTGAGCAAATTTACAATATATGTATGTTGGCATCAATAAATGGTATTAAATGTCATGTTATTACACCAAGTAACACGGCTACGGTGTCTCTCACGTTTACATCTCTAGCAGAAATGTATCTCCTTTTTGGTATCATTTTATTTTCTATTCAAGCTATCAACCATGTCTAAGCACCAATTTCTGGACAAGGTTCGTTGGTCTCATGTTGATCTCATGAAGCAGGCTCACGGATTCGTTAATGTTCGCTGAGTGGCCGAATGAATAGGAGTTGCATCAATTTGCATTTGGAGGATCGTATCTTCCTCAGCAGAGTCGCCATCTTTGTCTCCTGATATATCCCTCTTTGATCTATCAGCAACCAACAGTGGCCTTTGACATACCTTTTCAGGTATTGACCTCAGAGGCGGAGGGGGAAATCAAGGGTTTGACTGACGCCATGTTTTCTGTCGAATATGTTTGTTGAAGGCATGGTAAAACCCTGCCAATAGTATTTTGGTCTCTGTTAATGGAGTTTGTTAAAGTAACGGGGTTTCAAATATGTGCCGTCGCAAAACCGACGCTTTTCTTCTACCTCTCAAGATCCTCTTCCCATTGGCATGGTGTAAGCCGAAGATAATAAGTTCTTGTACCTGGGCTTCTCAAGGATATATATTTCCAAAATGCCTCTCGATCGGAGAAAGGTCATTAACATTCGGATTAGTCCCCAAACCTTATACGCTATTTTGCAGGGGGTATTCCATCAGAAATGGTTGCTACTTCTATCCCAATGAGGGAAGTTCGGTGTGCGCAGTGCCTACATTGTCTTTGATATGAATCAAGTCAGAGTCGGTTACCACAATAGTGTCTGCAGCCCAATAGACATATGCCCTAGCATTTGTACTGGCTGCGTATCTCTCTGTTTATACATCGGTCAAATCCAAACACCCCATAATGCCCCAGGGCTTCATTATGAGCCTCTTGCAAGTGTAGAGAAGTGCAGGACGTAACTTGGCATTTAATATGAAGGTTTGAGGATATACTGTACGAACACTGAGTATGGCTATGTTGCAAATAGCGCAAAAGCACGAAATCCTCCAATCTCGATGGGAAGGTGAGGAAATAGCTTTAATTCGTCATCGCCAGTGTATTTATGATTAGATTCTCTTGCATTCTCCCCTTAATCAAAGATCTCTCCAATATCGTTACACATCGTTACAACCCAACCAACTGACGGGAAATGATAGCAAAAGATATCAAATTAAATCAAAGCAAGCAAGAGAGTAGCAGTAATCATTCGTATACCTGAATATAGAAACCAACAATTAGCCTCTCTTTCATTTCCTGTATTATCCTGCCACATCTATCAGCGGTTTCTTCAACCCATAAGTGCCTCAAAAGGTAAAGTTAAGTTTATCCCTTATGCCTGCACAATTGCATTCACCAATGCAAAATACTGGAACATAGAAAAAATACTTATTTCGTAGATGACATCGTTCATTCCAGTGATTGTGGTTTTCATGGTCTGATTTCAGCCCCAGTCATGCCGACACAAGAGGGGATCACATTCCATTGGAATTACTTGGTTGAATCACTATTTTCTATCATACCTTTTATATCTCACATCACATCATAATCAAGGCCAAACTAAATATTTTATAAATTGAGGGTTGATCACTACAACAAGTTCATTCGTTCATTTATTTCCATTTCATTCAACCTCAGTATTGCCTTATAGATTTCAAGCCAGCATCAGGATGTCTCACCAGCCGTCCTATCTGCCATTTACTTTCTTTTTGAATGTAGACGCGCAAAGAGCCTGTATTCTATATATTCTTATAAATCTCTACTATATCACATAAAATAAATATCAGTATCGCCAATCTCAACCATCACAAACAACACCGTTATTCACTTTTTCCAATCTATTAGGATCTTGTATGAAACCAGTTCCTAGCTTCTTATGCATACACAAACACACACTACCAAATTAAACCAAATTCAAAAGCCTAAAAGCCCAAAGAATCTTAGATATTGACTAGTATCGATTAATTATTTGGAATAAATAATCCCCTTTTTCATAAATATCCAACCATCCTATCAATTCAATATCAACTCACCATCACTACGCTAATATTCTATACAATGCCAAAATTCCGCTTAAATCCCTTTTTATCCCCTTGGATCTATTCCAAACTACCCACATCAAGATATCAAACTCCAATTCTTTACTAAACTATCAAATCCCAAGCCCAAACAAACACTCTCTCCTTCCACTTCCCCGTCATATCTTCTTCTCACACCCTCTTCCTCCTATTTAATATCCCTTCATTACTTCCCAAACTATTATTATCCTCAAACCTACCCTCCACTTCCCACTTCCTACTTCGCACCACCCTCGCCTTGCTTATTTCTCATCTCTCCTCCCGTTTTACCTTTATTTCATTAATTTTTCTTTTTTTATCCTTCATTTTGAATCCAATCCAATAATCCAACAATCGCCCCCAACAAATCTCAAATCCATCCATTTCATCACATTCCATCCCATCAATATTATCCATCTTCTTCCCCTCGAGCTCATCCAGCCTCTCTCGTCTCTCCCTCCATCTCTCTCACTCTCTAGAGGTACTTTCCTTAAACCTAACACCCCAAAACCCGCGCATTACCAAATACCAAATTCTTTTAAATTCTCTCCTCAAACCCTCTCCACCCATCCCCCCTACTTCGTCTCAAATCTCAAATCTCAAAGTCATCATCAATAAACTAATTGACCAAAGTATCATTCATATAATGAAATAACAATACACACATTGAGCGGACTTATTAAAAGCTTATTTACACTAATTCTCTACTCTAATGTAGTATTTCTTCAATATTTTATAATTTATTATATTTATAGATATAAAGAAAGGGGCTGGGAGGTAAGAGGAGGGAAGAGTACATAAGATCTTAGATATCATTTCATAAGTCTTACATACCTAATTAGCACATTATGTCATAGGTTATACACATACACATACACAGAACAAAGTAAAACTTAAAGGAAGCAAAAATCGAACCGAATTCACAAAAAAATAATCTAGATTCGACATCTATCCATCCATACATCCCTATGGGGAAAGAAAATGAAACTATGAAAAGAAAATCTGCGAAATCTTCCACAATAAAAATTCAACGCCTTTTTTTCCCCTTCCTTCCTTCCTTCCTTTCCTTCCTATCCCTTTTCTCCCCCTCACAACAAAACGGAATAAAATAAAATAAACAAATAAGCACCCTGCCTGCTGAAAAAAATGTAATTGTGTCGCATCGTATCCTATCGTTGTCAAATCCCAAATCTATCACTCTTATCTCATATCCATCCATCCATCCATTCCTAAATCTATCTTGATCTTTGATTTAATATTCATTGACGCCATCTGATGCGATGCGATGTGATGCGATTCTCTCCTCCCCAGACACAACACCAAAAATAAGAGGTAAGAAAAGACAAGAAAAGAAAAGCAAGCCTCTCAAAGGCAGAAAGTAGAAGGCAGTAGTAAAACTTTTAAGAAAATTCGTATCTTCATAAGATTCCTCTACTCAATAGCGCTAGCGGAAGAATCGCCCACGACAGGGTTCATAGAATCACTCCAGTTCATTCTAAAATCATTACCGAGTTGTTTTCTCAACGCAGTTTGCACGGCTTCCAAAACATTAGGGAAGACACCGAAGTTTGCTGGGTTTTCCTCGTCGTTTTCTCCTCCTTGGAAGACACCGGTGCGTACCAAACAGGTGTTCCAGCCGTAGTTGTTTCCACCGATGATGTCGGATGCGGGGTTATCACCAATCATGTAGATGTTTTCGGGGAGTTTTTCTTCGCCGTGGATGGTTTCCATCCAGGAGGCCATGATTTCATCGGCGTATTTGTAAGTGGCTAATTCGGGTTTGCCGTATACGACACGCTCGAGTTCGACGCCGGTGATGGATTTATAGATGGCTTCGAGAGCGATACGGAAGGTTCCTTGAGACATACGAGGAGTGGGGTGCTCGCTTGGGCACAAGAGATCTCCTTGGGAGAAGTAGATTGGGATGCGTTGAGAGACGGGGTCCTTGGCACGAGTGCCGAGAACACCATCTTCAGATTGGAGAAGATCCATGATGATCTGGAGATCGGTGGCATAATCTCGAGAATCCGAGAAGACGAGGATAGCATCGATCTTGACCTTGCTGAAGTCTCTTGGGGTGGATGTAGCACGTTGCTCGGCAGTGAAGAACTCCTTAAGTGGGGAAATGGTAGGGATGGAAGCGACAATATCGTTTGGTACGACGATATCCTTGAATCCGTACAACTTGGCGACTTCTCGACATTGGTAGTTCTCACCACCAACAACCAAGACGGTGTCGTAATATTCGGCCAAAGCGGACATAGGGGTGTGAGATTGAATGAATTGTTCAGTCGCAACAGGGTTTCCAAGGATCTTGGAGAGTTGAGCACAACGAGTGGGTTCGACCTTTCCAGAACCGTTGGTCAAGAAAATGTGTGGGATCTTGATACCGAGCTCATTATCACCGTTCAAAATCTCCAATGCTCTCTTTCCTTCTGGGATCAAACGATCACCGTGAACGAGAACACCATCAATATCAAAAGCGAATGCCATGTTCTTTGCAGCCTCGGTCTTGATCTTTGACATATCTTGAACCTGCGAGGAGAGAATCTCGCGGGTTGGTTGAACGACTGGCATTCCAGGTCTTGAAGGTCTGTCTTGAGTGACGACGGACGAGAGACGAGATTGACGCTTGGAACGAGGAATTGGAAGAGCAGCACCAAAGCTGTTTCTTGAACCTCTACGTCCATTTGTTCTGTTTTCGAGACTCAATGAATGCATGAGTCCTTGAGTTTCCGCGACGGAAGATCTCGAAGCGGGAACTTCAATTGGTCCAGAGTCATCATCACCTGGGACGACCAAGTTGTGGTTGAAACCTGGAGTACCATTTGAACCAGCGTGGGCTTGAGCAGCCAAATCGCTATCATCGAAACCAGGCATTTTGAAATAGAAGTTTGAAGTTAAAAAAGCGTGAAGGATTTGTGTAGGAGAGAAGGTTATCTGTCGACTGTAGATGGTATCGTTGATGGAAGTGAAGGAGAAGTATGAGATCCAAAAAGTCAAAGGATGTGCGGGGCAGAGCGTATATATCTAAAAATTAAGTTCTTGAAAGCAAGCTAGAGAATGAGTAGGAAGAAATTGTAGGCAAACCGTGTATTGATGCCGATACTGAGGTAGGTGAGCTCATCGTGCTGCATGATTGGATCCGTATCTGCAACGGAGTGTCGTCTTCACCTCGCCGAAAACATGCACTAGGACCCACTATCATGATCCGCCAAAGTATATTGAAACATAAATACCTGTATGATCAAAGCTGCCCCTGACCGGCGTGGAAAAGTTTTGTATCAAAAGCGGATCCCGATAGATTATGGCCGGGCAGGTGGCATTACGTCTACGAATGAAGAGAAATAGTTTTGCATTTTGGATATTTTGTGCTTCGGATAAGGCAATCATGTGGGTTTATTGCTGCATTCATGAAATAATCTGGGTGGATAATTGATGTACGGAGTAAGGAAAAGGGACCCAGCATGACGTCTAGCGGACCACAATACGGGATATGAGAGGTGAGAAATAGACACACAGACAGACAACACCGCAGTATGCCCGATTAGTTAATCATGCACTACGGTGTATCTTTCATGCCCTTCATGCCCTTTATACATACACCGGTGCTGATTAGCAGGAAATTTCTATCAGGGGGATCCATCTTTTTATGTGCTTCTTACCTATTTTTCTCAAGCGACGGCGATCAATATTGGATATCTGGCAAGAAAGTGATAACTTCAGAATGGACTTATGCGTTGGCTTTATTGTTGTCGCTCACAGTTGTCTCTCTTGACCAGGTAGCATCAAGATATTTGCATGATGAATGGTGATGTTGAGTTTCATACGGTAGCTAGCAAGGACAGTGTACTGTACATATGCACCGATATCTAGGGATTTGGCCATTCAGGGTCTGTCTGTGATGAAGGGGAATCTTGGCCGAAGCTCGGATGGATCTTTTTCTTCTTCTTTTTTTTTCGATTAGTAAGCGACAATCTCATCGAAATACGGTCAATAGCCGATCCTACGAAGGTATGGGTGGGAACGTTATGGTTCAGTGATGATAAGTACCGAGTACCATGGGGGATAGGTAGAAAATTCACAGAGCCTTGCATCACATCACAGCGTTGGTCGTTGTACCTTGTAAGGTTAAGTTGATAATTGACGGACAGCCTTGGCCAGCCTTGGTAGCCTTCTGAAGCACGCAAGGCTCACAACTTCAACTGTCATACACGGAGACGACGGAGACGACGGAGACGACCGAGAATAAAATAAAAACTTGGTTCCTGTCTTCTTTTCACCTCGCTTCACGGCCCTTTTCCCATATTTGCTCCAAATTATATTATCCTCGACGAGGATATCAGGATCCAGGACTAACCACCGCCGTTCCAGTATTGCCAAGTAACCCAGGCAGGCAAAGATACAGACTCTTCTTACGTACACTCCTTCATCATTGATATTTTCATTATCCTTTGCACAATATTCATCCGTTCATTCGTCCGCTCCCTTCATTGTACCCACTCTTTGGACCCTGACTCAAGTGGGGTTTCATGACTGTTAGCACACGTTAGACAGAACCTTATGGGGGCCATGGGAGGGGACATGATACGTCATTTTCACCACATGCTGAGATTGATCCCGAAAAGAAGGCGTGCAGTGCAGTTGCAGAGTTTGTACCATGACTAGAAGCTTCTGTTGATACTTGTCCGTATTGCTTCGTTCTCCTTGCATATTCTAACACAGGAAGGATATAGGATAGGCAGGAACAGATTAAATTATTCATCCCACCCACTTTCGAAACGATATACTTTTTTTTTCTTTTTCCATTTTACATTCAAAATTATACCCCGCTTCTTTACCCCTCCAACACATCACAAAAATAATTTACATCTCTACACAATATGGCAGCACCGGCAGTAACAGGTCCTTTGATCCAATTGAACAATGGAGTTCAAATGCCAGCCCTTGGTTTCGGTACATTTGCCAATGAGGGTAGCGTAGGAGAAACACACAAGGCCGTCGTGGCAGCATTGAATGCAGGATACAGACATTTGGACTGTGCATGGTTTTACCAAAATGAGGGTGAAGTCGGAACTGGTGTCAAAGAATTCCTGGCTGCCAATCCAAGTGTGAAGAGATCCGATATTTTCATCGTCACAAAAGTCTGGAACCACTTTCACGACCCCGAAGATGTTGAATGGAGTTTGAAGAACTCGTTAGAGAAGCTCCAAACACCATACATTGATGCATTTTTGATTCATTGGCCCATTGCCGCAGAAAAGAATGAAGATAGATCGGTAAAGATTGGCGCTGATGGCAAGGTAAGCATATTGACTGGTTAAACTTCTGCAAGAGGAAAAATCTAACATGTGAAATAGTACGTCATCAAGAAAGATTTGACAGAAAATCCAGAGCCAACATGGAGAGCAATGGAGAAGTTATACAAGGAGGGACTTGCAAAAGCTATTGGTGTTTCGAATTGGACCGAGAAAGGACTTGAACAACTTTTGGCATTTGCTGAGGTTAAGCCTACCATTAACCAAATCGAAATCCATCCTTTCCTCCCACAACAAAAACTCATCGACTACTGTCTTTCCAAAGAGGTCGTACCAGTCGCCTACTCACCATTAGGAAGTCAGGACCAAGTTCCTGGTACCGGTGAGAAGGTGTCCACCAACAAAGAGCTGAATGCTATCGCAGAGAAGAATGGAGTTTCTTTGGCACAGGTATTGATCGCATGGGGATTAAAGAGAGGATATGCTGTTCTACCCAAGAGCAGCAACCCAGGAAGAATTGCCGGTAATGCGAAATTGATCACGCTTAGTGAAGAGGATTTCGCGGCGGTTAACAAGGTCGCAGAGGGAAGAGCGACGAGATTCGTTAACATGAAAGATACCTTTGGTTACAATGTTTGGCCAGAAGAGAAGTAATTTGGGATTTGAGCTGGTCTCACATCAGGCGTTAGGATACAACTAAGAAGAATACCAATTAAGAAGAATACCAATTGAAAGAATCCTTTCAAGTTCCATATCATTTTTTCGAGGATGCGTATAATTTCTTGGTTCATTGTCAAGGTCATCATTGATATTATGTGTTTGTTCGGACATTTATGATGTACCACATTAATGTGCGGAAAATTATTAATTTGCCGGATAGGTAAAATACCTAGTTACAATCCTACAGGATTAACAGCAACACTTTCCATAATGGAAAATAATGAATCCTCACGGCCACGACAAATTCAACATGTGATAAAGATAGTAGGGCTGACAGCATGATCACGTGGTGTGACTACATCGACTTTTGTACAACACAACCCCTCTTGCGTGGTCACCACTACCTGTCGACTCCTACATCTACATCTCAACTTTAAATCCTTCCACTCCTCTAATCTTCTAGAGAACCTATTCATTGGGATACCACCCACTCACATACATCGTGCAGAAACCCCTCTACTTGTGCGTGCATCTGCGGAAATATCATCGAGCGCTTTGGGATCATCACAGGGCCCATCAATACCATCTCTTAGTTTTCATACCGATATCATATGCATCCTTATAGTATCTACCATTCATTTTTGGGAAGTCTCCCGAAGATTAAATGTTGGTTTGTTGGTTTGATGTGGTATTCATTGCGATTGATTGATATATTGTTGAGTTTGAATACTGTGATGGTGGATGGATGGATGGATGGATGGATTAATATAGTCGGATTTACTCGAGTAAGATCGGAGGCTATCCATTCACTTGGTCAGGGGTTAGTGGCAAGACGGTATGTTCATTCCTTGAGAGTATAGTTATTGGTATAGATGACGTGGAATTAGAAATCGACTTGCTTGGTATTGGGATTCGAAATTTTATTTGTATGATGTAAGACTTATCTATGTATCGAAACATTCCTCTCCCACGTATTGGCCACGATTTGTCCTTACATGTTTAATCCTCGTAAGATGTCAAGAGTACATACATCTCGGCGATATGAATAACCTTAATCTACAGTATCTATTCATCTCAAAGAACAATACAGGATGTATCCATAACTAGGTATTCAAACTATTCAAGACGTCTACCGAGATTATGTGCTACGATTGGTTAACAAACATTTCTATAAGACTCGACTCATTTGCCGTCTAGATTAAAGGATTCGCTGGCGTCTATATATAAGGCTCTGTGCATTCCTTCGTTTATTAAACTTTACCTTGCAATGTGCATACGTACGTACTAGACCTATCATGATTATATCTTGTGATAGAGAAGATGTGTGATGGGCTTGAGTTTATTGTGTTTATTTTGGTTATGGGGCACAGTTCTGTGAGGACGCTCCTTGCTTACTTGCTTGTTTGTAATAATGGAAGATGGTGTGCGTATGTATGTAGAATGAGTCGATCGACCGTCTACATATATAGGTCTGGGGCCGAGCCAATTTAAGAGGTGCGTGAAAAGGTTACTGATATCCGTATTCATATTGGTTATTATGGCGATTTATTCCTTCGTATAATTATCTTAGATTTCTTTTTTTGTTTCGTTTTTTTTATTCAATTAGAGAAGTATTCTGCGGTTTGAACGCTTCCTTGAGTTGGTCGTTACCGTCTCTTTGTCTTGTGGATGTATGAGGATATATACTCGATGCTGCTGGGTTTACGGGAGAGCCTGAAAGTCAGACTTGGTTCTTCATCATCATTTTCGTGTGGCTTTTTCTGTTTAATCGGGATGGAGCAATCAATATAAGACGTCAGAGCTGATAGTTCCTCCCACTCTACAGAACTTCTTCGACTGCTCGGGAAAATGTACTCCGGATGGTGGAGACGTTGCTGGACGGGGTGCTACCATTTGTGTTTCAAGGTAAGCAAGCACATTCTTGGTTCTAAGCTTTTAGTTTGCGAAATATTTATTGTAAATTAGTATTTATTCTACTTCCCTAGTTCAGAAAACCTATAGCCCATCCTCCTAATCGTCAGTGGCTGCTAAACAGACACTGGTTAATGGTACACTTTCCACTTTCTTTACCTTGACTTCTTCTCCTTGACTTCTTCTCCTGTTGCTACGGAAATCATTCTTCTTACAAATGTTTCTTTCCAAATTTCTCCTTTCACCATCTCTACCCCTGACTTCGTCTCTGCCCCCCAAGTTCAGTTCACAATCCTTCAAATTGGAGTTTTGCTACTCTCTTAACTATTGCTACACATACAACTAGCTCATCCTCATCAATCCATTTCGAAAGTACTTCAAGCCCGCTCTCTCATATCTCTACTTTTTACATCTTCACATAATACCTTAGCTCAACTTCAACTTCAATTTCATCCTCACGGACTTCACCATCCCACTATTCCTCATTTACCACCTATTCCTCCTACCCTCCCTCCCTCCCATCAACGCTACCGTCAACCCCATCATCCACACCCTCCACATTCCACCCCCTACAATCAGCATAAACATCAACGCCAAAATCACTATTATCCTCGTAATACTCGGACTCACTTGTTTCCTATCCATGACTTTCCTCCTCTTAAACAAAAGAACTACTCCCCTCAAATCCAAACTTAGAAACGGTAACCTCAGTAAGAATAAAGAGATAAGTGATGAAGAAAAAGGGAAAAGAGCAGTATTAATAGAAAGAGGGGGAGGTGAAGAAGCAGAAAGAAGAGAAGAAAGATATGAAATGGAAGGAATAAATAGACCCTTTGAATTAGAACCGGAGTTAGATCATGCGGTTCTGATTAGATATGAGATGGATGGGTACTAGATGAGTGTTGTGTTTGAGAGGTGGTGAAAAGCTTGTGGTTAACGTTGCTGGTAAGGGTAATTAAAGGGATTTATTGGATGTGAGGGAATCCAAAGAGATGGGGTTAAAAGAATGGAGTTTTAGGTATCTAACCTAGATGGATACTGTGATGAATATTGAATGGGTGAAGATATTTGAGAGAATAAACCCTGAGAGATTAAAAAGGTAATTATAAGATATCTATATTTAACAATCATCTCAAATTATAAAAGCAAATAAGAGTTCTGGTCATTACTCACCGCACCCCCTTTGGATTTCGCTTGTACTTTTGAAAATTCAATATTAAATCAATACTACAATATTTTTTATTGAAAATCTGATAATATATTAATAAATAATAACTAATCCTTTTACTTCAATTATATTCTTTAATTTACAAATCAATTTTTTAATATATAACCTGAAATTTAAAAGATCAAACATTTTTTATAATCTTTTAAACTTCCTTTTCAATTCCTTAATAAAAGTAGATACAAATAATAGTTTTTTTAATTCCTTTTTTATTCAATATTATATCTTTTCAATTAAATTGAAATCTGAAGAAAAGAAAAACTATTGAAAACTTCTAATATTATATTCTAATTAAATTAATCTAATATACTTCAAATGAATCTTTATATTATCCTTTATAAATATATATTCAAATTCTAATTTATCAAATAAAAAGAATACAATAGAAATAAAGATTTGATCCTGATATATTATTGAATTTATCTCTTTATCATTAAATTTCTTCTTTAAAAAAATTAATAAAGATTTATAATTTCAATTAAAAACTCTTTATATTATTACAAAGATTCTTTCTAATCTATATATTGATTTGATATAATTCTTATATTTCTTTTCTTCAATTTTATAAATTACTTATATTCTATTATATTTTCCAACCTCGAAAATACTTTCGTTAGATTATATAATCTTTCTTCAATCATCTTCTTTAGATTTTTCAAAGATTATATCAATTATCCTTTATCAATAATATATATATATAAAATTCAATTTCTTTTTTGTTTATTTTCTAAAAATAAACAGTTTAAAACAAACTATATAATATTTATAATTATATCAATATAATTCATATCGAATAATATATATCGAAGCTTTAATCTTTAATAAATATTTCATTTATTTAAAAAAAATTTTTTTAATCTTTTGTTAATTTCTTTATAATTCGTTGAATCTTTTTAATTATCATTATAAAAAATCGATATACTTTTTCTTTACAAATAATTCTAAATAAATTCGATTTAATAATACCTTTTATAATACTTCAAAATACATTCAAATTTTGTTCGATTCAAAACTATGATTTTCTATCTCTTTTAATCTGAAAGATTCTAGCTCTACAAAGGGTATCTCAATTTTGATGAAATTCATATCACTTTCATCTTGAATTTTGATAATCAATTTAAGTTTGAATAGAAAATATTGAAAATTTGAATTTTGATGAATTATTTATAATTGAGGGTTGAAAATAAGGTTACAGTTATTTCTCGATAAAGTATATGGCTAGAAGTTTCCAGAACTCTTACATTAAATCATTTTGAAGAAATCGAATTGTGGATAGATATTTACTGTTTTCTTAATAGAGATTTTTTAGAGTTGGATTGGATTGAGTTTGGGTTGGTAGTTGGTGGTTGGATTGGATTGAGGATTGGATTGAGAATTGGGCTGAGTTTAATGATGGAAGCGGCCAGTTGTTGAATGAGGGAGATGAGTATAAGAAGAGGGGGGAGAGGAGGGAGAGGATGAAAAGGAAAAAAAGGAAGACAAGAAGAGAGATAAAATAAATGATTATAATATATATAAAAGAAGATAATAATAATACTATTTCAACAATTAATAATTAATATTATTATTTAATACTAATATAAATTATCTCCTCCGAGTATATAATTTAAATAAATAATAAATAAAATAATTTAAAAGAATAACAGTCTAATATATATAATAATAAAAATATAATCTTATAAAAAATTAAAAGTACTAAAGTTTTTAAATAATTTATAAAATAAGATTATTATTTTATATTCGAATTCAAGTCTAGATTGTATATTCAAATAAAACCAAGCGCTTGGAATCGATTCTCATTTCTCACTTGTAGAGACGTATATGTGACCATAACGTCACACAGTTATAGCAATGCCATGCAATTATAGACATAATTTCACCCCAAACACAAGGTACTAATTAGGTTATATGATATTTGTTTGCAATGAGTATTCGTATCTATCCATTCTCTCGTAACAAATTGTCATGAAACAATGAACCAAATGTGCTCTCAAGGGAATCGTTAACATGCTAATCACAAAATCATTCGTCTATTGGGGAGCACCACGTCCAGCACCTGCACCTCTTCCTGCTCCACCTAAGTTTCTAGCCCTGTTTGATTATATTAGTACATATGGAAGATTGATATAAAAAGACAAGACTTACATCTCAGCAATAGAAGGATCATTCATCAAACTTGAAAGATCCGGCATTCCACCTCCATTACCTCCAGCTCCACCACCACCAAATTGATTAGCCATCTCGCGTATCCTAGGATTACTCATAATACTATTCAACGCATCCGGGTTACTCATTAAGTTTTGAGCCATGCTCGCAAACATAGGATTACTCATAATCGAGCTCAAATCGGGCATTCCACCACCACCACCACCAGCTCCACCACCACCAAACATACCCGCCAAACTAGCCAAATCAGGCATACCACCTGCACCACCAGGAGCACCTCTCTCAGCAACCTCATCCTCATCTAATCCTCCAGCTTCCAATTCCTGCACTCTCTTCTTCGCAGTCTCATATCCCTTCTTCATAGCATCACTTCCCCCATTTCCCTCATACTCAATCCCCTTCTCATAGGCTTCCATCGAACCCTTCGCATCTCCCATTGCAAATCTCGCAAGTCCCAATCTAGACCATGCCTTTGTATATTTAGGATCAGCATCAACTGCTGCCTCCGCATCCGCCTTTGCAGATTCATGATCCTTAGATGCTGAATATGCAGCTGCGCGATTACTCAAGAAAATTGGGTTACCGGGTATGATAGCCAAAGCTTGCGAGTATAAATCAATTGCTTTTTTATAATCTTTCTTAGCCATAGCTGCATTTCCCTGACTCTTTAATCCTTCGGCTTCTTTTTTTTGTTCCTCGCTAGGTTGCTTGCCAGTTGGGGTTTCATTGGCAGGTTTGGGAGGAGCAGCTGCTGCTTGGGATTGTCTTAATTTTTCATAGACACTGTAAATTTGGAGAAGGTTTTGGGAATCTTTGGGAGTGGCATCTGTAGGATCGACTTTGAAGGACTCGGAAATACAGTTTTGGGCGATTTCGATGGACTCGCGTTCTTCTTCGTTGAGGGTACCATCAATGAGGGAGGTAGAGAGGAAATCGATGATGGAAAGTGCGAGACGTTGTTTAGTAGTTGCCATGATGGGCAATATGTTTGACTCGAAAGATAATTCAAAGCAGTGGATTCGAGTATAATATAGATACAGAAGATGTATGTAATAATTCCTGTGATCCGTATGTTTGTTTGTTTATTATTCGAGCTCGTATGTGGCTATGAATGGAAGGTTCTAGTGGCTAATTTAGATGGTGGGGTTACAAGTAGCTATGGTGGGAAATACAGACCTGATATGCACTTTTTGATCTCCATGAAGTTGAAAATTACCAGGGAATGTGTCCAAGACAAAAATTAATGAAAAATAAATTAGATCTATATAACCACCTACTAATTTTGAATGATGCTCATACATACCCCTGAGCTCTAATTCTAATATAGAAGTTCACCAACACAATATCCAATATCAACTTGCATCTTGTGGCCATTTACCTAAGACCTCAGACTAGTACTATATTACTCAGGTGGGAGTGAACAAACTTCATAGAAAGCTACTAAAGTCATCCAGGCTTAGTTAAGTTACCTAGTTATTAAGAGTACGATATAGGCAGATACCGAGCTAGCCTATTATATATATAATTGACTTCGATCACACACCTCTAATTGAAACTACCTCCGGCTACGAGGAAGTATGAAACTACAGAAAACCAGGCCAATACCACTCCTCTTATAGTGCATTGAGTTTACCATCTCGGGATACATACCCATAGCTTTAGTGTTGCATAGTTTCTTGCCGTATGAGATCTTTTCTATCTTCCCTTCCCCCGGAGCTAGATTCATGATATATTGTTTGGATGCATAGATGACATGTGTTTGGGAAATGCAGAAATTGACAAGATTCTCTTATCTGATTTAAACTGGCTAACCCTATTCTGCAAGTTAATACGAAAAGTTGAGACTATTGTTTGTGCGAATTAGATGTTGGACGAGCATGGCTTGGAGTCAATGCAGAAATATATCGAGGTCAAGGCAAGCAGGAAAGAGGAAAATGGCGAATATAATCGTTTCGGGCATCATTTGGATCAAGACTACAAAGCCATGATAACAGGAATAGCAGCTAAAGGCTGGCCTACATATGCTAGTGGATGATACTACCTGGCAGTTCTTAAGGTATAAAATACGATATCATGACTGCGCTAGCGTGGAATGGAGGCACAAACAACACGGGAACGTCACATGCTAGTAATGAGAAATTCAAACTCAAATATTGACATAACTTCATTGAATTGGTATTTTGATATAATGCATCTACCCCTTTGCAGCACCGGCCTTGATCAATAAGATATCTACACATGATTAGTGATAACTCAAGACGAAAATAGAACATAATCTCCTTACCTCCATCTTCAACAACGTAATCTTTACCCTTAGTCATAACCTTTCCCTTGGCTTTAATCTCAGCTTCATCTCCATTGAATTCCTTCAATACGCTGAAGTTGTATACGATAGCTTGAATAAAGGTCTTTTCGAAGTCACCGTGAATGACTCCTGCAGCTTGTGGTGCTTTGGTGCCATTTCTGATAGTCCATTGACGGACTTCATCTGTACCTGTAGTGAAGAAACTTCCAAGATCCAAAACCTTTCTCATGGCGGTAACAATCTTAGGTAAAGCGGATTCAACACCCAAAGTCTTAAGTTCCTCTTTAGCCTCGGCTTCAGTAGCGAATCGAGTCAATCGCTCCTCAAGGCAGATGGAGATTGGCATAATTGGATCGCCAGCTGCATTTTCCTTGATCCATTCCATAACCTTTGCCAAATGCTTGTTCTTCTTTCGAATGTAATCCTTCTCACTCAAGTTAATGAGGTAGACGACTGGCTTAGCAGTCAAAAGGAAGAGAGGATTAATGCATTCGATCTGTGAAGAATTAAGTAAGTATATAGCTCAAACAAATCATTCAAAAATGTGGTGGATTATCGAAATATCAGAACAGGGTTTCTCTCTCAGTATGCACTCTGCGTTTGTTGTGAGGCACTCGACGAGCTGGGATTATCAGGCCTCATGGCCTTTTGTCATCATTTAGGAAGTAAGGAGACGTTGATGAAAACTTGACACATACCTCTTTTGGTGACCAGTTACCCTTTCGGACATCCTTTCCATCGTTGAGCATAGCCAAAACCTTTTCGATGGTGGCTTCCTCCTCCTTGAGCTTTTTCATCTCAAGGGATTGACCACCTCTTCGAGTCAACTTCTTTTGGGCCTCCAGTGCCTTCTCGACAAACTCAATATCTTTGATACGAAGTTCATCGCTGATAATAGTCAAATCTCGGACAGGGTCAACATCTCCTTCAATGTGAATAATCTCGGCATCATCGAAACAACGGACGACTTGGAAGATAGCATCAACAGCACGAATATGCGATAAGAAAGCGTTTCCGAGACCTTCACCCTTTGATGCACCTCTAGTTAAACCGGCGATGTCGTAAATTGTGAGATGTGCTGGAACTCTGGATTTAGGATTGTACTTCTCGCAAAGCCATTCGTATCTATCATCGGGCACAATGACACGAGATTCTTCTGGATCGATAGTTGCAAAAGGAAAGTTCTTGTTGACGTTAGCGTTAGGTTTGATAATATAAATGTTGAACTCGGGCCTGTGAAACTTACTGCGGGGTTACCAAGGGAGCACTTGGTAATAGCTTGAAAGAGTGTTGACTTGCCGACATTTGCAAGACCGACCTATTTTTGGAGTCAGTTCATGTCTTAGACAACTAGAATGAAGAGAGAAATACAATTCCACTCTTCAAGTTGTTACCAGGTCTGCCCAGCAACACCTTCTTCTCCTCGACGACCTTCTTTGGAGGCATTCTGCTCTTCTTTTTTGCGTAGGATCTCTTTTGATTTATGAATAGAACCGTACAGTTAAGTAGGCTCTCGTTATTGTTTAAAAAAGCAGAGGTTGCTGCTGGAGAGTACGATGTTGGTTGAAAAGAAGAGAAGATACGTTTGAGAAGTAAGTGAGACGTTGTGATGGTGGGATAAAATGCAGCCAGCCTTGTAGCGGACCGCGAAATGAAAGAATCTGGGAGTGGGAGGGGGAATTGAAAGGACGAATTGAATTACTCGAAAAAAAATCTTTCGTTTGGAAGTTTCTGCCCTTGGAAAATTGGTGAAGGGCTTAATTAGGCAAGTGGAGGGACCCTTTTGTCACGTGATACAATTTCGATTGATTTGGCATTCTGGATCAAAAAGAGTTTCTATCATTAGAATGGAAGGATTGCATCTAGTCTCAGTGGAGCTCTTTAACTGGTTGATCAAGCTTTGGGTGGAGCTTCCTTCAATTGTTACGCGAACGGACGGCCAGACTGAGCCAGACTGAGCCAGGTAAGGCTGTGATTAGATTATTGATTATGATGATATGGATGGGGATCTACAGCCTACTGCGGAAATACCTACCTCTCCTCTCAGACAAGTGTTACCTCAACACTATGCAAACAGAACCTTTCAACGAGGTTATAATTTGAATCTGATCCGGATTCATTTTGAATATAAAGACAATAGGGGGTACGAGCTGAGTACGAACAATTCATTGTGGTACAAAACAATTCATCTTTCAAATACCAATAACCTTATTTATTGATATCTCCGCGCCCAAACAATCAACTTTCTTTGATTCCATCAGTACCTCTTTAATACAAAAATATCAGTCATGTCTTCCTCGAGCAAGAAGAACTCCAGAATATCATCCCAGAGCCAAAGATCGACTCTCTCCCTTCAAAAGACAGAAATAGTTATCAATGTTTATGATCTACTTCCTGTAAGTTCCAAGAAATCACTCGTTAAGATTATCGTTTGAATGCGACCGATGGTTGCTGACGTAACTTTCGCGATTAGGCAGGCAAACTTTCTTCAATCCTTTGGAGCTTTGGTACTTCACTACTCCACAGCGGAATCGTTATAAATGGCAAGGAATATGCATTTGGAGGACATGATAGAAAAGGACAAACGGGTGTATTTTGGCAAACACCAAGACTGGAACCGCCTGGGGGAACTTTCAGATGCGAAATCGTCCAGGGACTTACCTTTTCTCCTCAAGCTGAAATAGATGCTGTTATTATGGAAGCTTCAGAAATCTTCCAAGGCACCTCGTACAATCTTCTCACCAGAAACTGCAACCACTTTACAGCATGGATGTGCGAGAGGCTTACTGGTCAGTCTGGGCCGGCATGGTTAAATCGAGCTGCCAGCATTGGAGTCGCATTACCTTGTATGGTCCCGAAAGAATGGATTACCCCTCCAGATTACGAAACGGCAGATGGGCACCTTATTGATGATGACAATGATGAGCGAGCACTGCTGGGTGGCACAAGACACAGCATGGATGATGGCAGACCAGATTTGATTGATGATGAGACAGAATGGAGCTGCGATGAGGACATTCAGGCTATAAAGGGAAAAGGAAAAGATGTCAGAGATACATCAGGCAGAGTTGTTCCACTCTCGGAGAGGGCGCCTACGGCCAGGAGATGAATTGCACTTGGGATGGAGGACATAGTATTCTTATTGGCGCTTTGAGGCGTTTTCGGCAATGGACAAGGGATGGGAGGAAGGAAGGGACCGGCGTCAAGCGTTCATTTTATGATACCATTTATGATGCTACGATTCTTCTATTGTACAGATTCATCTATCGTTTGCAGAAATGCACAGCGTTCACTTTACCACCATAATTCCCCATTTAACCCAATCTTCTTGGCTTCTTACTTCTTGTACCACCAAACTTCAATCTGGTAGCATCGGTGACCTTGACAACCTTCCCTCTCAACCATCTACCTTCCGTACCCAAAAGAGCCTTAGTAACAGCTTCTCTTCCCGCACCAAATCCCCTCAGAACCAGTTCCAATTTCTGAATATCTCGACCAATAGCTCTCTCGTGAATCCTCGACATCACAAATGCAGCCAACTGAAAAGCCGAATCATAATGTTTCCTTCCCGAATGTCTGAACCCAATGTTTCCACAAGATACAGAGATGATCGGTTCTCGATTTGGTCTTGTGAGTGTAATATGGGTATTATGTCTCGTGGCGTAGACGTGAAAATGATGCGGTTCGTCCTCTACAACTCGTTCCCCAATCAATGTGCCATCCTTAGGCACTGTCGTATTGAATAACGATCCCTTCTTCTCCTTGCTTAAGTCCATCATACCTTGGAATATATTTGCTATGCCTCCACCCGCGGCCGAGGATCTAGCAGCTTTTGGATTGAGCGAAGCTGATCTTGCGGCGCTGGCTCTAGCTATAGCGCCCGAGGCACCGCCGTACCTCAATGTTGAGGAATTATGAGGAACATAGTTGGAAAGAGGATCGTCGCCTTCGGCTCTCTGATTTGGTGTGCTTGAAAAGGGTCGCGAACATCGGAGGGGTAATGTGTGAATATTCGCAAATTCGGCAATGGAGGAGAGAGGTGATTGAGTCAAAACTCGCCGTGAAAGAGTTCGACTCATGATTGAAGGGAATATCGAGATTCGGAACACGATCTTGCAGTATCAATGGCTTAGGTATCAAAATCTAGAAGAAAGTTGAATTCCGGCCGGGTTGTTCCGTTCCGTTCGTTTTCCACCCTTGAAATTTTGTCGATCGGAGAAAATGTTCAAATCGCCGCCATGATACTCCTGCGAAACCAAATTTATTTCAAGCATAATTTGAAATAATTTTTTAATAATTACACTCTGCTCCTGGTCAATATGAACGGGCTACGAACTGCAGCGGCCAGGACGCCCACAAGTAGACAGGTTTCTCTGTCTTCAATTACGAGACCTTCATCCAACATTTCCACTCTTCCTAGCCGGATAGTTCAGCAAAATCGAAATTTACAATTTTCTACAGTGGGCTCTTCCAGAACTGCGACTCTTACATATCCCGCGCCTTTGCGATCGCGATTTTTACCAGAGGAAATTCGGTCTGCAGTATATCCTGTATCCTCGCGGCATTTCCATAAAAGCTCAAGATTAGGCAAGGAAGAGAAGGCAAAGCCAGCAGATCCGGCCGCGAAGGAGGAGGGTGCAGAGGAAGAGGCTAACAAGAAGAAGTCTACTAAGGACTCAGAGTCTACTTCTGGGGACGAAAAGACCAAGGAAGAGGGTGAAGGTAGCGAAGGCAGCGAAGGCAAGAAGGAGGGTTCAAAAGAGGCCCCTCCTCCCCCACCACCCCACGGAGACAAAACTCCATGGCAAGTCTTCACTGAAACCTTGCAGAGTGAATTTAAGGCATCCAAAGAATGGAATGAATCTACAAAACAATTGGCAGAGGGCGCACATCAATTTACAGAGAACGAAAATGTCAAGCGTGCTAGACAAGCTTTCGAAACTACTACTGGAGCTGTATCTTCGACAACTGGCAAAGTTTTAAAGACCACTGCAGGTGCGGTAGGTAAGGGAGCTGCTTGGACTTGGGAAACTCCTGTCGTCAAGGGAGTGAGAACTACCGTCAATGCTACAGCCAATGTACTTGACAAGGCAACACAACCAATTCGACAGACAGAGGCATATAAGAATGTCAAGAACGTGATTGATGACGGAAGTAGTTCGAGGTATGGAGGATGGGTGGAGAAGGAAGAGAGACGGAAAGCAAGAGAATTGCGGGAATTAGAAGAAGGAACCACTGGCAAAAGCAAGGAGGTTCCTGTAGAAGACCCAAAGTAAGTGGTACATCATCCATGAAAATCCGCAATTAACAAGTACAGCGCCGGCACAAACGTTACCGTACACAAAGACTCCGCGTACAAGGAGGCCTGGAGAGATTTCCGTGACTCAAATCGACTCATGCAATCTTTATTCTCCATGAAAACCGTCTACAACGAATCTGAAAACCCCTTGATCTCCACCGCCCGCAGCATATCCGATCGAGTCGCCGGATTCTTCGCCGAAAATGAAACTGCCCAAGTAATCAAGAAATTTCGTGAAATGGATCCCTCCTTCCAAATGGAACCTTTCCTTCGCGAAATGCGCGAATATATCCTCCCCGAAGTCCTAGACGCCTACGTGAAAGGCGATACTGAAACCCTCAAACTCTGGCTCTCAGCAGCTCAATTCTCCGTCTACGATGCACTTTCAAAGCAATACACAACCGCTGGTCTCAAATCCGATGGTCGCATCCTCGATATCAGACATGTTGAAGTCCTATCCGCAAGGATGTTAGATAATGATATCCCAGTCTTCATTATTACATGCAGAACACAGGAAGTCCACGTATATAGAAACGCAAAGACGAACCAACTAGCCGCCGGCATGGAAGATAAGGTTCAATTGGTCACCTATGCGATTGGTGTTACGAGAGTAGCAGAAGATGTTAATAATCCGGAGACGAGAGGTTGGAGACTCATCGAGTTGCAGAAGAGCGGAAGAGATTATATATGAGAATCTTCTCATTCCTCCACTTTTCATTTCGACTCCAGGCTCATAGAAGTCTATATCCTCTCTTATCTATTTCATCACCATATTGTAGCATAGCCTCCCTCGTCCTCATCTTCCTAAAGCAAGCCATCCCTTCACATCTTATGGGTCAACAACGTACCCACATCACACACACACACACACACATATTCATCCATACATCACCATCCTCTTGTACATCATATTAACATCAAATCAAATCACATGATACCAAACTCATATCCAAACCCAAGTCCAACCCAACCCAAAAACCCAGACGAATCAAGAGTTCCAAGAAGCAAAAGAACTCACCTCACCACAAAACACCGGTGAACTAACAAGTGTATTCGCTTGTAACATTGTACTAACGAAATCAAAATCAAAATCAAAAAATTTCATCCATTTTGCTTCGTCTGAATAATTCGGATGATTATAGCATAGCTACTTTACGCCACTCTTACGACTTTCATATATTTAGAATTGAATGAATTGAATTGAATTGCGGGAAAAGGAGAAGGAGAAGTAGGAAGAGGAAGAGAGATATGAAACGACATGATACGAAAGGGACGGGAAAAAGAGTAGACGATAGGAAGGCAGGAATCAAAAAAATTTCACAGCCTCCATGTGTGAAAGGAAAGGAGGGGAAAGGAAAAGAAATATGTTCATTTATTGTACGTATGTATGTATCTATCTTATGTACAATTAACGAGTGATCGAATAGAAGAACAATGTATATTGAAATGAAATGAAACCAAAAAAAATGGAATGAAATGGAATAAAGTGAAATGGAACGAATAAATAAATGGTAAACAAAAGAGTTGAATCAGAGATATCATTCATCTTTCCCATACTCTTCCTTTTCTTTTCCTACTCTCCTGCCTGATGTTATGATTGCGCCTTGTGATAAATCTGTCTATTCCTATTTAATATATAATAATTAATACATGCATGTTATCTAATAAAAGACTGCTACAGTCAATTACCAGTATAACTATATAAGTTATAAAAATATAAAGCTACTTTGATACTAATACTGATACATCGATCAATCAATCAATCAAAGGATATGAAATTGTTAAAACCACTTCCAGTCCCCTATACCATCAAACAAACAAAGCATCCCATAATCCTCATTCCCAGAACAACTCACCCATCTAAACATCATCAGCAAACCTCACACTTCCTTCCTTTCCATTTCCACCTCATTCCACCACCTCCCTCCACCCTCCATTCCCCTCCATCCACTTCATTCCATTCCCCACCCTTTCTTCATCCCATCCACACCACTTTCCTTCCACACACTCACCCATCTTCCACTTTTCCATCATGCCGCAGGACCACCAGGACTCTCCCCTGCAAACCCTGCATCCCCTGCTCCTCAACAAATTCAACGAAACCGGCGGACCCAACAACTCTCCTCCATCCCGGACATAACCGGCACGCCCGTCCCCAAGCCTCCCAAACCCGGTCCACTAAACCCCCACCATCGCCATCGGCGTCGGTACCCTCTCTCTCCTTTTCGTTATATCATACATACCACTTTCTCTCGCCGGCGCACTGACTCTTCTTTTTCCTTGCGCGACATTTTTTAAAATACCTTTTCTCTCTGCAGGTTTAGTAGGTTCAATTCCAATTCCAATTCCGCTTCCGTTTTCTCTGTTTATTTGGGGATTTCTAACGAGTGTATTCGTGCCATCTTCACTTGTACCAATGGTCCCGTCTCTATCAGGCAAAGATATAATTGCCTGGGTTTCAAGCGCGCCCGCATGCGCATCATCTAGATCAAAAGTGACTGTAGTTCTAGGTTCACTCTTCGAGTCAAGTCTTCGATTTTTAGGGGAATATTGGGAGTCTGCTGCTAAATGTGCCGCGCTAAGGGGCGTTATATCCCTTATTTCGATGTCGTTCTGAATCTGTGTAGGAATGTCGTCGGTATAAGGTTCAACAATTCCATCCGTACCACCCGTAAAAATAACATTCGTTTGCACCTCATTGAAATTCGCACCCACTGAACTAGTAGTCGCAAAATCCGAAGTCGCAGTACCATAACTTTTCACACCTGTTCCGCCATACCATGCAATTAGCCAATATCTTCAACCTTATTATGCGAGACTAGACGAGCATTGTGATAACAGATGTAAAAATAATAATAACATACCGCCCTCATCACCGGCGGAAACAACATTACCAATACCATGTCTCTTCAATTTCTTCTCCGCCTTCTTCTTAATACTCTCTTCTTTCTTTCTTAAAGACTCTGGTTTCCGTTCCTCTTTTTCTCTTTTCTTTTGCTCTCTGATTGCCTCTTTTGTTTGAACCTTGATTGGGCTTCCCGGGGTTTCAGTAGCAGTTTGAACACTAGGAACTTGAGGTATAGCCTCAACTGGCTCACTAATAGTTTGCGAGGAAGAAGCTGCCTTTCGTTTTTCTTTTGCCGATTGTTTCTTCTGCCCTTTATTGATATCCTTAGTCTCCTTCTTGTAACCGGAGGTTTTTGGGCTGGTTCGGATGGGTGACTCTTTGGGAGGGAGCAAAGGGGTAAGTTCCGACGCAGAACTTTTAGTAGCATTTTCGGAGGCAGATGATTTACACTGCTTCTCCTTAACCTGCAAATTTGCCTGCTTTGGTAGTTGAATAAACATTGCACCTCTAGGCAATCCTTTAGGTAGTCCTTTATCCAGTTTATCCACCCTTTCTTGTACATTACCCTCAATTTTGGCACTTTCTACCTTACCACTCTCCGACTTACATTCATCATGTATTTTCTCGTGCTTTAGACCAGTATGCGAGAGCACCGAGTGTGTAGAAGAAGGAGATTGACAAGGGTGTTCTTCAGTCCACGGATTTGAGTGCTCAAGCACATTCTTCGCATGAATTGGAAGTGGTAAATTACCAGTAGAGAATAGAGATCGTGGCTGGCTTAGAATTGGAGGTCTGGGAGGACTTCCTGCTAGCTGGGCTTTACAAGGTTGATCGATTGTTTGGGCTGGGACAAATTTGCGCTGGGGACTGTAAGGGCGGATGGTGGTAGGGTGAGGAGTCGTGGTAGCTGAATTAGGAGTAATAGTGGTAGGATGCGGAGTGGTAGTGGCAGAAAGCGGAGGGATTGTTGCTGGGCTAGGATCGGTAACAGGTCGATGAGTAGCAATAGGACGAGGAGTTTCGACGAGATGCTGCTTTGTTTGAGCTAGAGTTAGGGGTCCCTTAAGCTCTGATTTCGATAGGAAGAGCTTAGATCCCTTGAGACTTGTGGCACTCAATTTTGAAAGATTCGTTTTTAGTAGCATCGGTGTCGGTTTGAGTGCATCTTCTTTACGTTTCGGTTCCTTGAGTACGTCAGAAATAGAAGGCGCAGACTTTCTGCTTGTTGTGAATTCCCAAGTGCTATTGATTAGATAAATTCACAAAGTTAAAGTTGCCATACTACCACACTGTGGACGCTATCATAGCTCAATCACGTTGATATGCAGTAGCATAGGATAAATATTAAATATATGTTTTTGGTGCAGATTCAAACGCCACCTAAGCAAAATTGCTATTTTACTAAGCCCTCCATTATGCAGTTATATATGTTCAAAACTTTTGGGGTTTATTTCAATCCATCACTTACATCTTTTGATTGACTGCTGGAGTTTGTACCATCCTCGGCCTCCCCTCGGTCATCTTGAGTGTGATTATAATCTTTAACTCCTTTCGCCGCTTTCGCAAGATCAACGGTCTTCTTTTGCTCAGTCAGATCATTGACGATGGTTGCATCTTTCTTTGCAGGACTCTTTGATCTTGACCTTGATTTGGATTTGGATTTGGATTTCATGTTGGAAGGTTTAACGAAGATCTGTTTTGCCCATAGGTCTGCATATTTTCCCTTGGAGTGAAACAACTCATCGTGAGATCCTTGTTCGACTATTTGGCCATCCATGATAACAACAATATGGTCGGCATTCATAACGGTTGACAATCGATGACTATTCACAGTTAGTAAAAAGACTATCAAAAGCATGCTTTTTAACTATTCGAATCGAAAGATTGGCAATGAGCGACTCTGTAGATAACTTACGCGACAATAAAAGTTGTTCGACCTTTACACAATGCTTTGAATCCTTCCTGAATTTTTTGTTCAGTCTCTGTATCAACAGCGCTTGTAGCTTCGTCGAGAAGAATGATCGTTGGTTGTTTCAGGATGGCCCGGGCAATAGCAACACGTTGTTTTTCTCCACCAGAAAGCTTCACACCACGATCACCAACTTTAGAGTTGTATCCATCCGCGAATTTCAAAATTTTATCATGAACGGCAGCGGCTTTACATGCCTCATATACTTCATCGTCCGTTGCGTCTAAACGAGCATACCGAATATTGTTCATGATGGTGTCATTGAATAGAGTAGGGTCCTGTGGAACAACACCAACATGGCTACGAAGACTATAGGCAGGATCTTAGTGACGTTTTCAAGCTTTTACAAATTTGACTTACCTATGCATGGTGATGTCCCGAATATCTTGACCATCAATTTTGATACTTCCCGATTTGACGTCATAAAAACGATCCATTAGTTTCAACATTGTTGATTTACCACCGCCAGTTTCACCAACAAACGCAATTGTCTTTCCACCCGGTGCAAAGAAACTGACATTCTTCAAGATAGGTTTTCGCTCGTCATAAGAAAAGCATACATCGTCGAACTCAACTTCGCATTTACTAATCTCAAGGTCTTTAGCGCCAGGAGTTTCTTTGATCGAAGGCTCTGTCTTAAACAGTTCAAGAAGGCGCTCGGCATCTATCAAGGAACTAGAGATCGTTCTATATGCACTGGCAAGGAATGCCAATGGGCCTGGAATATACTTAGTTATGCATCCGTATTAACAGAACAGAAAAGATATACCTTGTAATTGGCTCCAGAACATAAGCAAGGTGGTGAACTTTCCAACTGTTTGACCTTCATATACTACAGAATAGGAGCCCAGGCACAGTACACCGGTCAGTCCGAAGCACATGATGAGGCTTTTTGCCATGTTAGTGATGTTATAGAACCATTCATACGCCCATTTGGAGTCGATATGCTCTTTGATGACTATAATAAAAATACATTAAATGGCGAATTTTTAAGTGTGATGGAAGTATAGTAACTCACCTCCTGAGTATCTTTTGTTCTCGTAGGGCACCATGTTAAACAACTAATAGCTTGTTAGTGCACGTGTAAAATGACGCCAGTGCAAATACTAACATTAGCAGTTGTCCAGCCATCCAATGATTCTTGCCCGACTGTCCATTCCTTTCTGTAAAAGGTTATATAATCTCTGCGTTGATTGGCTCTCATGGAAATCAATTTCACGGTTGCGTACATGTAAGATACGAAGGTGACGACTAGGACAAGAAACATATAAGGTCCAAAGGCACCAAAATAGATGAATGCAATGACTAGATCGATGAGCATCGGGATCACCTGGAAGCAGAGCATTTCCATTAGATCTGCGACAGACCTACCCCCATGGACTACTTGAAACAAATTTGATGATGATTTATTGTCATGGAAATCAGAAGATAAGCTCATAATATGGCTATGCGCAGCTGAACTGAGTGTTTTGTATGCGTACTGCTCCAAGGGGTTCCAGAGCCACGTGCGAACCACATCGAGACACGAGCCACCGTTGATAAACCTCAGGAGCGAGTAGAGAAGAACAGGTATCCAAATGTTATGGCTGTGATCTAAATAATGATTAGTGAAGGCCATCAAACCCTGCAACTCAACAGAATTTCTAGTGGTCCGGATTGTTGGACACGCTGAAAATCACGAGAGAATTACTTACCGCCTCCAGTATAAGTAATCAAGCTTTGCACCATTATACCAAATTGTATTGGAACAAGGACATTTAAGGCATTACTTGCCAGGAGAGTCATGGCAACAAGGACAGCCCTGGCCTGAAGCTTTCTGTTGTTCAGCGGCCAAATGAATGGAATAAACACCTAGGCACACTGATTAGTAAAACTATTTCAGCAAAAGCCTTTGCGCGACGGAGCCTCACAGAAAATCCCTTGAGGTAGGTCCACCAGTTACCGTCCTGTTCCAGTCTTTTTGCAACAGCCTCTTTTGACTTGCGCTGCCGTTCCAAGTAAGAATCTTCCGAAGCCACACTAGCAGTATCCGAATCATCTTCTTCACTCTGAGAACCTTGAACAGTAGCCTCATCGGTTGTACCATAACCATTTCCATTTAAGGTGGAACTCCCTGAGCTAGACGGACCGGACGGATTCTTCAATAATGATTGGCGTTCCGCATCAGCACTGTCCTGGGTTTTGTCTGAATTACGGAGATAGAAGTAGACAGTAGGTAGAGCGATGAGATCGAAGATCCTTATACTTTGGACAGTTAGAAGTATATAATCGAAAGCTGAGTTGGTCGGTGGGTCAAACAAATTTGGAAAAATGATTAGACAGAGTTCCACGAAGAGACCGATGAACCAAGTTCCATAGTATGGATACCATTCCGGAAATTTCGTGTCTGCTAGTGCAATAATCTCAACCATAAAAACTAGAAGCGATGAGATGAGGTAAACCTGAAGGTCAGTAAAAGGAAAAAAAAAGTAATAAGATTATATGGGAATTTGAAGAGAGTAAAACCACGCAGTGGGCGAAATTAATTGCATAAATGAAATGCTAAGCATCTCTGGAGAGATACTTGATTGTGAAATCTTAATTGGGCCATCGAAAGGCATAAGCATGGAAAACCACTTGATTGTCAAATCTGAAGCGAGAAATCTGAAAGTACTTTGGAGCCCTTGCGTATGTTTTTGGCATGCAATTTATTTCGACCACTGCGAGGTCCCCCAGAAAGGGAAGAAATCACTCACAACACGGTCTTGTCCCGGGTTCCAGCCTTCAACTGACGACTTGATAATAGCAACGATGATTTCCATAGCCTATTGTCACAAACGTGTCAGAAATGCAATTATTATGCAGGATAGTGTAAGATTCTTATATGGAGGCAGAAAGAAGCGTACATATGTTCCAGTGAGACCGGCGATTAAGCACAATATCAACCCACGACGGACATATCGATCCTGGTTACGTGACTTCTCCGTCTGCATATAACACACTGTAACGCCTAGAGCGATGAAGAAATAGAAAAATACGAGTGTTGGGTACGCATATCGAAGGGCTTTTAAGGCAATCCAGAACTATGGCGTTGTTAGCAGAGGACTATTTTGTGAAAGCAGTCCCAGTGACCTGGGGTCGCCTCGTTACTCCAAGAAGTTTTGAAGATTCGTAAATGTCCAGAAGCTTTTAATACTGCGGGGAATAATCAAAAGTACTACTTACATTTGGAGGGGCAACTGGAGTGAGCATCGTTTCCATGATATTTGATGGATTTAGGTGCATTGAATAGAGAGAAGGATGCACCGAAAGCTGCGGAGATACAGTGACGAATCAGTGACTGGATATTTGTGTAATCCGCGTGTCTGAATTTACGAAATGCTTTGTCGCAAATTTCAAAGTCTTGACTGTAATAGGTTGTGGAAGGAAGACTCATGTAGATATTTTTTTCTCCCAAATATGGAAGTAGCGCGCTTTCTACACTAGTGAATATCTTTAGGAGCCCATGGGGTTCTGTAGTTGCTCTTTCTTAGACCCAACCATTCTTGATCATTGCAATGGAATTAAGCAATCACCAAAGCTTTCATTGAGGAATATAAAGAAAGAAGTGCTTCGTGGTGTCATTATAGTGTGATTCATCCCAATCTCTAAGGAAGTTAATGTCTTTGACAAGATGAATCTTCATTATATATGTATGTGTGTGTGCGTGTGCATGACTTTATGGCTCTGGAGTTTGAGCATGAATCATAACCCCTCAGAATCAACTGTGAGTAAAACACTTCTTACTCGCATGTAAAAGTTATCTACTTATAAATGAGGCTTAAGCTTTTCAAGAGCAGAGGAATGTTCGAGTCGAGGAAGTGGAAACGAGTGGACTATATGAACTTTTCTTACTCACCTCAACTGTGTCACTTGTAGTGAGCATCTCTTTGTGCGACAACGCTCCGATATTATTGTCAGCTGCCTTGAAGGCAAATTTGGCAAATCTTGAATCGAGATTAGATTTCTGTTCTTTTTGTGTTCCGCGTAGCTCAGTTGGCGCTCGTCAATAGCTTGTATGAAGTTATATGTCGAGGCTCGGTCAGCCAGGTTTTCGGACTCGGCTCGCCGGCTGTAGAGAGGATTTGGAATTGCTTTGCAATATTTGGCTACTGATTCCTGGTAATCACCCACTTTATATAATACATTCGATGAGGGACTATGAACCAGATGTAAGGCTGCGGCGCATGTTAAGTATTATTGATTCACAGGCAAACGCACGTTCGAAGAACGACTTACCGAGATTCAAACACTCCAACGATAAGTGCGAGACTATTCTGTTTCGGGTTTGGGATATGGATTTCGTTAGACCCCTAGATTATTTCTTTGGAGCCATGTCCCCACGCCGCGCCTATATGGGCAATGCATGCGGTCTCATGGCAAGCGGTAGTAGCGGTCAATGAGTGTGTGAATATGTTAGGTATTATGTTCCCTTTATCGTCTGCTCGCCGACTCGCCGACTCGCCTACAATATGTTATTGTACATTTATGTACGGGGATTTCTCTTCCTTGTCTGTGTCTAACGCCAAGCGAAGCATGTTCAATGTGCACAGGTGCAGAAAGTTGTGAAATACACGCCCGCTCCTTGGATTGTGCATTGCCACTCATACATTTTGGTCATGGTACCTGTAGATAGGGATGGGGGGCAGGGCCAATCTAATGATTTTCTCAAGGTAAGGTACGAAATTGGGGGCCCGAATTTGGCGAAAGCGATGATTATGCATGTACGACAAGGGATAAAGAGATGCAATACCTGCATGGAGGACCTAAATATTGGGTAGTGGAAGTAATCACGGAGTATTGTTGAAGTAATAAGGTTAATATAATAATAAAGGTAACCAGCCACCTTTTTATCTTTTTATGGTACCCAGTCCGTACTTAGCACTCTAAATGATGGTTCTGTCATTGCTACTATACTCCGTACTGTGATATACGAAGTAACCGAGCCGATAGCCAACATACCATGCTCCGTATACTCGAGCATTAGAGCATTGGCTCACCGGTTCCATTTCCCATTTCCCATTTTCCAAATTTCTATCTGCATCGTGTGGGACAATTACAACTACAGGCTTTCCGTGTTCAGTACGACACCATCCTTCAGTGTGTTTTATTTAGCCTATCCTTGCATTTCAGCACATGGCCCCGCAGTATCCAATAGCCGGCCGTCTACCGCTAACTTCATCCGCCGCCATTTGCTAGAAATTCCGTCTTCACCTCTCACATCACCACCACATTGCTTCATTTCTCTCCACACAAACTTCAAAGCTTCAATTCATCCACCAGTCCAGCTCGCTGGCGTGGCTTTTGGTCCAACAATCAACCGGAGTAAGTCCCCCTACGAACCCAATCAAATGATCCAGTTCGCAGATGTGTATTCGATGAGTATCATTGTCCATCAATTGGCCCACTCGACGCCGTTCCTCAATCTGCTGGATTCGTACTCGTGGTGGACGAACACCTCCTTCTCCAATAACGAAGAGCCGATAATAAATTTACATACACTCCACTGGAACACGAAGGAGCTGGCGGGAAGTGCCGACGCCGTCCTAAATGTTTAGCATCCTCACACAGCCTTGAAGTCGACAGCTGCAGTCCTTGGAGCAAGCTATAGTTCTACAGGACAAATCATATCACACAACAATCGGTACCGATATCTATAAACTTGCATATAACCTGCGGAGGGTACACAAACAGATGACTCGTTGGTGCCACGGTTTCACATGCTTCTCACTCTTTGGACGATGGTATATCTGCCATCTTTGCCAGCTCACCTAACTTGATATGCTTCATAGGTACCCCGCCTTGACTAAATTCAAAAAAGTTCAAGGTTCAGTCAGCTGCATTAATATCGTTATTCTGAGTTCCATGTCCCCGCAGTACATTTTTGTTGATTCCTTCTAGAGTTAGATATGCCAAGTGACAATATTTACTATGTCGTACATTATCGTCCTCAGTGTGGCTCTCGAATGCAGGTTTCTTACAAGGGCCAGTCCCTTGATCCAGCCAACAGGCTAACAGCACCAGACCACTGGAATAGCCGCCGAGGCTAGTCCCATGCATACTACCAGTCGTCACTAGCCGATTCTTTAGATTCAGCTCATCAATGTCTGGCTTGCCCGCTAGCCAAGTCAATATCCCTACAGAAACTGGACATAACCGCATTGGATTGCTCGGCTTTTGGATTGAAAACTACTCCTCAAATAATCCATATCAATGCATGTCATCAACCTTGACATTGATGATCTACAATGTAAAATAGCAATCTTCCACATTCATCCGTTATTTTCTACAATTGGCTCACTTCTTGACTTGACTCGGCAATTAACCTTTTTTTTTCTCGGACAGACTTTCCCAATGAATTCGTTCAAATCAGTAAATGCATCCAGGTATTTGCGGGTAAAGTAGTGTTTTATCCCAGCTGTATCGGCATTCTTCACTCTGAAAATGGCACTCAATCACATGAGAACTTTCAGGCATAAAGTAAGAAGAGGTGGATTGAGTGGTAGATGAACGGCCACATCTCAGCCATGGGATGACCGACGCTTCTAGAAACTAAATACAGGATCTTTTTTTACTAATAAGTCGCTTTCTGCAAAGAGAATCTGCACGATGACTTTCCAAGCCTTGCTATCACCAGAAATGCATCCGAATATCCCAACCTTGCGTCAAAGCCGGCCGGCAAAAGCTCAGCAGAAAATTGGCATACCGCATTCTATCAATCAAAATCCCCCACCGCCGTTTTCATTGCTTCCGTTGCCACCGAATTCAAACTTGTATCGGAAAGGATATCTACTCTCTCCTTGGACGAAATTCCAATCTACCAAGTTCTGTGGAAGATTACCAAGACCATGGGCGGTCGAGGTATTCTGATTTGCTGCGAATCCTGGGACGAACAATTGGTTATTGTGGCCGCGCAGAAAACCCTGGGTGTTAGCCATATTCAAGGCGCCGAATTGGTCTACCATCTGGCTCGAGTTTGCAGGCGAGGATGGCCTACTGCGGGAGATGGTATTAGGGGGAGCATTGAACCCGATGCTGGTACTTGGCATTGCGAACGAGCTAGTGTTGCCACCGTATCTAAGCGTAGGTGTGCCAGGCCTGCTTCCAACTTTCAGCGGTTGGAACGAAGTCATCTGACTCGGTGTGAAAGGCCTTGCCCGACCACCGGATGGAAACGTTGATTTGCTCTGGGTGGCGCGTGGTGACGCAAATCTAACAGGAGAATCTATGCTGGAAACTGTACCGGGGCTAGTGACAGACGTAGTGCCAATCATTGGTTGGGTTGGGCGATTGTAGTATGCGTTGACGTAGGATGGTGGTTCTGGTTTATGCTCAAAAACCGCCGGCTGACTTTGGTATTTTATGGGTATGCTTGTATTTTTTGTAAAACTCGATATGACTTCCTCGTCCTTTGTAAGCCGATTTTTCCGATCATTTGGATCCCAGTTTGGATTGGCAATTGAGATGAAAATATCATCATCTGCTTGGGCAAAACTCCTAGCATCGTTGAACTCCTTTCTTGTTTGGCCCATGATCTGGTCAATGGCTGCCTGTTCTTCTGCACTTAAAATTGGCATAATTGGCTGCTCGTCTTTTGAAATGGCTTTCATGGCAGTTGCAGCTGATCCTTTCATGTCAAGTTGTTCTCCTGGAAGAAAGTCGCAGAGGTCAATGTCTGGTGTCTCGGGGTAAGGGATGTGGCCTAAAGGAAACTCCTTATGTGTCTCAGGGTCGCCACCAATCCGTTGCCAATATGACCAACTGGTTGGCTTTACCTGATACCCACCAGGGTTATGATTAAGTGCTGGTGGCAAGCTATTCCAATCAGGAATGGGAGCTTTTTTCCACTCAGTAGCAGTACTCGTGTCAACAGTAACCTTTTTACTGCCGCCATTGTATTCGCCTCCTTGCAAAAGTTCATTTGTACCGGAATTATCAACATCAACACCCTTGCCTTTATGACTAACTGTAGATGATAGGGTATTCGTATCGCCGATAGATTCGTCGATAGTAATGCCGAACTTAAACGCAGATGCGACAGGGTTCAATTGTGGCCGAGTTTTAGATACTGTTCCACTTGACATGTTTCCAAAGACACCGCCGCCTGGTGGCTTTCCGCCGGAATAACGTCTGGTTCGTTGATTTTGAGAGCTGATAGTGTTGAAAATATGACCGACCTCATCACTGTCGTATGTATCCTTGCATTTGACAGTACGGAGTTTCAAAATAGGACCACTAGGGCCAGCGCCGATACCAAGCTGCATGGCGGTGCGGTAGTATCTCCAATAAATTTCCATTGGACCACCGCAATTCCACGTTACCCATTGAGCTGATGGGGGGTTACAGGGCTGCGTTGCTTCAATAACCGTCCCTTCGATGGCTGGAAAGCATCTGTCCATAGAACCTCGACCGGAGCGGACATCGATACGTCTGATTAAGAATTTACCTTTGCCGGTGTGGGAAGGTTCGCGTTCTCGTTGGTCGATTAATTCTTGTAAAATCTGAATTAATGGCTTGAGATCAAGATCGAAGGTCAGATTGATTTGATGGACGCTTGTTTGGCCACCCGTTTCGTCGTATGCGACTATGGTAACTTGCCTTTCCTGGAGATGAGATTTGTTTTGTGCCGCTTCGCAGTATTTCTCGAATGCGCTGATTGCTTGTTCGTATGTAAGTTGGACGATGGAGCCTCTGGCTGTCGGGTTCAAGACGGAAGGGAGGAAATCACGATTTGCCGCATTAGAGTTTTGGGAGGTGACGGAAGGTGCGTGGTAAAGTGGTTCGGCCATTAGATTCTCAGCGAACGGACCAAAGCCTTCGCTGGCATTCTGCCGCAAAAGCTGCTGCAAGAGTGCGGGTGTTTCGTCATCTTCGTAGTGTTCCATATTTAGTGGCAAGTGCTAGCTATTTGTACTGTAGTGTATTTTTTATCTTTGATTTGATAAATTATAGTGCTGTAAAATAATATTAGGAACAAAAAAAAAGGAAAGGTTATCAGGAAAGAAAGATAATCTGAACCCGACAAGACAACCGTTTTTTTAAACAAGGACTAGCGTTGTTTGAAACCTGAACTAGGTATAGAAAGTGAATTTTCAATGTCCCAAGTGGTATGCCTATTTCAACGTTTCATGGTTTATGAAGCGAGATGATAGTGAAGTAGAGTAGCTCTAAAATGAATTTATGGGTGAATAAATAAATCTTATCTAAATTCCCCATTGATGAAAGACATGGCAACTAATTGCAATACTTGCCATATATCAGTTGGAACAATCAAAATAATGAATAAAAGCAAACATGGACGTACACGACGAGCTAGTCGAATAGTATATAGATTCCCCACTCTCTATATTCCCAGCATTAGCGAATAAATAGTCGTCGAAACGAAATGCTAAGTGGATATAAATATATGTATATATATACTATTCCTGAGCATAAAAGGATGAGCGAACCGCATCGAGCAGGCGAGGAAGGAATACGCTGGTGGAAGTATCTTACGAGTAGTGGATTTGTGGGAGTTATATAGTGGTGATAGTGGAGATATAATTAGTTGGTATTGCTCTCTTTTTTTTTGGCTAGCAGATAAGAATAGATTATATTAGTGCCTCTTGATAGCGAGATTAGGGGTTGGATCATGGGATGGAAAAAGGGAAAATTAGAAAATAGATGGGATGGGGTAGGTACTTTTTATTTACTTGAGGAATTCATTTTATGCGGTTGAGATTTTAGTAGGAGGAGAATAGAAGAAGGAAATAAAATGTGAGAAGATGAAGAGGAAAAGATGAAGAGGAAAAGATGAAGAGGAAGAGGAAAAGAGGAGAAGGTGACGTTTGATCGATGGATCATGGGGAATAATAGAATAATATTCAGGAGAGAATATTCCGGATCCTTTTTCTGCTTCTCGCTTATTTCTGAGTCTGGAATTTCTGTCGGTTTGATTTTTTGGATATTGCTAAGAGGTCTGAATTTGAAATTCAAGGTTTTGTGATTGCAGCTCTTATTTTGAGTTAGTTTAAGATGAATTATATAATGTGATTCTAGGTTTGGAATTTATAAATGATTCTCTTTGGTTCTTTTGTAGATGTTTTGTTGTTGTATGATTTAGGAGTTGGGTTTAATTATTTTCTTTGTTTTGGAAGTATCTCTAAGAGCGTTTTAGATGTTGGGGATGGTAGATTGAAGATGAGACATTTTACCGGGTTATTCTAGTTATTTTCGGTTTGTACTGGTTTCTATCTTTGGAAATGTCTCAGGTGTTCTTTGATGTTGAATTTGAGGTTTTAATCACGAGGGATGTTTATGGATCATATTCGTAGTCTTGTTCTAGGTTGTTTCATCTGAACTCTGTCTCTAATAAGTGTTCTTTGCCTAATTATTTTTATTTGTTCTATTCTTTAAATCGAATTGGATTTATAGATCTGAGGATTGTAAGCTTACACTGCATTGTTCCCGACAGATATATTCCCTCTTGCTTCTTTATCAGATCTATACAGCAGTGTCAGTTCTTAAAACATGGCTCTCTTTTGAACGGCTGAGCTTCTTGGTCTATATCTGTATCTTCAAGTTTTATTCTAAACCTATGTGAGATAAAGACTGTCCTTGTGTTTTCCTTCATTATAAAAGCTGGCTTGAGTTTTACTGAAGGTTGAATACTCCTTGCTGTTTAGTGATTTTGTAATCTGGATCTTCGATGTAATCATTTGTCTGCGAAAATTTCATCTTATTCATTTATTCGTCCGAATTAGGGGTGGTCCGGAAGTAGGGTACTAGACTTATGGTATCACTTCTATGTTATATTTCTTTGATGCTCTCTTGTTATAGTGAACAAAACTATTAATTATTGATATAAAAAAGTATAAGTAGAGTAAAAACTATTAGTTAGACTATTCATAATAGCCTTATGAGCTAGTAAGGTTAGTGTGGCCCTCTTCTCCTTCTAAATCTTGATTTTCCATTTTCTTTTATCCGACTACCTATCCCTATCCAACTCAACTCCTCGTCCAATTTCATATTCAATTTTTCATGAAATCCTCGCCCAAATCTTCATTCAGCTCAATGTTCGAATTCCCCATTCAACTCTCTATTCATATTCAACTCCCCATCAACTCCCCATCCTAAAGCAAGAGCTTGTTTTTTCCAATCTTCATACATTGAAATATCTGCACCGTCATGAGAAAATGCACTCCGGAGACCATGAAACAGCGCATTAAACTCCACCTCATTGTCCGGCACTCCACCCAGGAAGAAAGTGAAACGCTGCCACTGACGACCATTCCGTACTATATTGCCAAGATCCTGTCGGCCACGGTCATCAAAGGCTTGAGCGAACTCCAACTCATCCGCGCATAGGCTATTGATTCCATCGTAGTAGTCGCCTACAGGCCACATCATACACGGCGAACCGAAGGCTAGTTCCTTCCCCTCAGCGGATGCGAACTCCCAGTCTATAATGCCTGTAATATTAAAGTCATCATCGACGAGTATGTGGTCACCCTTATCGTCACAATGCTTTAGATAGAAAGGTCCATTGCTAGAAACCGAAGATGCGGTAAGTGCGCGGAGATTCTTCAACCGCCACATGAAGGAAAGATAATTGTCAACTGGCAAGCTCGTGATCTCGTATTTTTTGATCATTTTTAAATGCTGATGGATCACTGCAGCGTACGCAGCTTCAAGCGTGGTGAAAGGACCAAGATGAGATGTTGGCGTTGAAAACCAAGACTCATGAGCAAAGCCTCCGATCTTATCAGGGGTATCTGAGAGAATCAGTGAGCCTGTCATAGGCAAAGGATGTTTCTCGAGCTCGAGGTATATATCCGCCAGTTGTTGTATGACCTTGGATCGCTGCTTGGGACCAGCCGAATTCCAGTCCAGAGGATTACCTTTTATCTTCTCCATAAGTATATACGATGAACCAATCGGGTTTTCTGGCGAAGCTGCTTGATAATGATAGACTTTTGGCGAGGGCACTTGTGTTTGAGCGAGAAATTGAAGCGTGGCAATTTCACTTAGAAACACGTAGTCTTGAACTTCAGGAGGAGGGACCAAGGGATCCTGAAGTCGTATTCTTGCGATCCATGTGACACTATCATCAAACTCGATGTCCAAATGGAAATTTTGTCCACCACATTGGCTGGAGGCAAGTTTCAATCGAGACTCCCAATTTATATCGTCTGAAAGAATGGGCGCACGGCACGGGATTCCTCTTCTAGTCTTGGTTGCCACTGATACAAGTGCCTCTATGTTAACTTTGGCCAGGATGGCAGCAAGATAGCCTTCTCTAGCAGCACTATACGCAGCGTAGTAAGCATCGGTGTCCTATAGAATGTCAGTGACCATGTGGTCCATCAAAGAAGTCTCGCTTTACTCACTGCTGGTGGACATTTGTGATACTCAGGGCGCAAATGCTCGAAACACAGATGCTTCCCACAAATTATACAGTTTCCTGAGTAGCGTGATGCTGGATTAGTGCATTGAATATTAGCATCACAAATGCGTAGAACCATTTTGGTTGACTCTAAGGTATAATGAATGATTATCACGTGAATAAACTGGATCCAGTTGTAAAAAGAACAGAAGTTATTGTTATTGTTATTTTATACTGGTGGTTGATTAAATCACGTCAGTTAAAGATTTAGTGATTGGGAAAATATAGAAATAAGTGTTACAATTCAGCCCCTTTTTCAAACCAAGGTAACGATCGGAACTTAGAGTCTCCGTATCATATGCATATGCACCGTCTGAATATTAACCATCACTTCAATAGCTTTATTGGTGGGATTGTCAAAAAGCAAGATGATGTACCAGTAAAAATTGATTAAAAGAAGCGCTTCCCCCCGAATGCAGTGTAGATGACTCAATGCTATGCAATATAATTTCCACATACCTACAAACAGCAGAGATGTTATGATGCCTCGTTACAAAACCTCACTGAGAATTCGCAGTGCTTTTTGCTTTACGTTACAACTCAAAAATTTGCGCCCTCGTGCAGGCCAACCTTTCAAGTGATCTCAATCTTGAATCCATAGTCTGAACTTTTCGTTTTCCTGAAGCCTCCTTCTCGAACTGTTGAGCCAAATACATCAATGAATGACCATCAATCCCTCTTCCATTACCATTGTCTGGAATATCAAGTCAGATTTAGCTGTCACTGATTAGTGGGTTGATATACCGATCATTGATTTTCCGCATTTTCATGTTATTTTCGATTGTCTAAAATCTCATTTCAATAGAACTTCATTATTCAAATAGCACACAGCTTAGCTCCCGCTCCAAGCATATTACACGAATCGGCTGTTAGCCGAATAGTCATTGTGCGACAGACTGGGAAAAGGTGCGAAGCAATTGTTCGGATAAGCCTGTAACGATCTGGTCGAGGCAGCGGCTGCCTGAGGTTTTGTATGATTGGTAGTTGTAGGTTAAGGCTATTAATTATTGGTTATTTATTTGAAAGTGAATTCGTTACTAGATCAATTGGAATATAGGTAAATTAATTGATAACTAAATTGAATACAAAATTCCTAAACTATAAAACTATTCTGATTATATATTAATGAATGAAAAGAAACTTTATGGAATTCAAAAACTTCAAAAAGCTTTTAAAGCTTTAGAAGCTTTTCAAATTTTTAGGATTTCTTATTATGTGATTGATCTTAAAGTTTTTTTTTTCTTGGAATATTTGTTTTAGAAGCTTTCCTTTAGAAATTATAGTTTTAAGATATAATATTTTTTAAAGTGATTGTTTTATTATAATTAATTAATTAGAACATTTGTTTTATTCTAATATAGTTGTTTAGGATATTTATTCTAGGAATCTTGGGGTCTTATTTGTAGATGATTAGCCCCCTAAAAGCAATAATTAAATCATATCCCCTTTGTAGTCGGCATATGAATTATCGATATCAATAATACTACTATAATCTAAACCGTGAATCGTGACAAACCCATTCCAACTATTACAAACCTGCAATTAGCCAAAGAGTCACTGATGCGATGCGACAGGCTGAAAAAAGATGTGAGGCAAAGAGTAAAGGGCCCTTTGGCATTATAAGATCTTACCAAAGCATTATCCCAGATATAAACGGTAAGGAGATGGATGGGTAGAAAAGCTTCCTATGGTAATCTTACCAGAAAGACAAGAAACTACCCCGCTAATTACTTCTACAACGATGAGATATCTCGTTATGGAACGAAATCATAAATAAAAGCTTTAATAAAAAAACCCCAGGGAACAAATCGATTCAGCAAATTTGAAAAGCCTGACTTTAGCCGTTGGAATTCTACATTTCTCAAGTTCATGTTTGGATAATAATATTAAAAACTAATAATTAAGAGTTTTAAAATTTATTTATTGTATATAAACGAGATTATATCAAAATTAAATTTTTTTTATCATTTTAAATTTTAATTATATTTATAAAATATTAAATCAATTTAATCAACTTTTATAAATTTATAAAGATAAATTATTAGAAATTAATAAAAATTTATAAAAATTAAATAAATTACTTTTTAAATGTTTTAGTTTTAAAATTATACATATCTAAAATTGAAAAAAATAAGAGTAAAAAGTTTTAAAAAATATTCATTTTAATAAAGTAATATTATATAAATGAAGTTTTATTAAAAAAGTTTATTATTTATAATTATTTTATTATTATTTAAATAATTTTTTATATAAGAATTTTATATAAAATTAAACTTTTATATTAGTTATTTAAATATTTATTATAAATAAATAATTAAAAAGATTAAAATTCTATTTAAAATAAAGAAATAACACTTGAAATATAAAATAACTTTATTTATTATATAGTTTTTTCTTGAATGTCTTTAAACTTGAAAGTTAACATTATATATTATTACCAAGAAAATAAATACTTATCAATCCATTCATTTATTCATCTACATATAATATAATTATTACCGCCCTCCTCGATTAGACCTCACACTCTATATAAGCAAACAAACCCACAAACAAACAAACAACCCAAACCCACAACCGTACATCCTCATCCTCCTCTACCTAACCCACAACTCATAAAGCGGTCCCCTAGACTCCAACACCCCACCAGCTTGGGGTCCCTCCCGCTCCCCCAACCCCTCCCTATTCTCCACATGCGTATAATTCTCTCTCGGCTGCGACGACGCATAGTAGGTTGTCCCTATCGCCCCATTCGACAGCGAGGAAGAATTATATCCCGGACTAACCCCATCATTAACATTACGATCTAATTTCTTCCTTTCGAAATCCTTCTTTTCATGATTCTGATCCGTGTGTTTTTTCCGTTCGCGGAAAAGAAGAAAGAGTGCTGTGATGAAAGCTAGTGCTAATGGGACACCGACTGCTGCGCCGACTATGGTTGCAGTTGAGGTGGTTGTTGCTGAGGATGGGGGAGTTGGGGAAGTGGTTGCAGGGGATGAGGATGATGTGGTAGTGGGGCTGAGTGAGGTATCGGACGTTGTTGATGATGTGGATGTGGATACTGTTGTACTTGCAAGGACTGATGCTGACCCAGATGCAGTAGCGAATGTAGTAAGTAAATTATTTGGTTCCGCGAACACGATCCTTGTACCGGGTAGGAAAGTTAATGGTCCCGTACAACAATCTCCATTGTATGCGCAACACCATGTTCCATCCGTATCGGCTATCCTGCATGGAATAACATTCACTCTTGAACTATTGCCAGCTGAGAAATGTCAATTTGTGTGAAAATATCTTGGTTGGAAAGAACGCACTACTTGAACCCAGGCAATAGTCCGGACATGATGGATCTTCCCATGTACTATCCGTGCATGCTCCTCTATAACGATATCCATTCTCTTGACTCACACAATCTCCCCAATTTGTACAAATATCGGATTGGAGACAACAGTCTCCATTTCCAGTTGATGAACAGGAAGTGAAATTTTCCGCAATCGAAGAATCCGGAAAATAACAAGGAGCACGGGCTGAGTACTGTGCAACAGATAAAAGAGAACTGCTGACCGAGAAAAGCAGGAAAGTTCTAGAATAGATATTTAACGGATACATGATGATTGTAAATAAATTTTCAAACTGAAAAATGTAGTAGAACGAACGAGATATGGAGAATCTTGAATGGTTCCATTGTGTATTTAAGGTGAAATCCGTAATCACTGTCAATCAGTATTTCCCAAAACACCTGGTAGAAATAGGAGTTGCTGTTCCTCCCTCAGCCTTGTGGAACACCTTGTTATGGTCTAGAACTGTCGTACAAGGATCCTTCCCAGCATTAGTGGTGACGTTGTAGACGACATCCTTTCCGACAACTGCTCATTGTTGAGTAGGGACAATCTTTAATATCCATGGATCTTGAAAATTTATGATAGCACTTTAGGTCGCCAAGAGAGCCTTAATTTTATGCTATCCATGGGTTCGTCAAGCACAACGTTGTTTCCCCATTTCTTGGCTCTTGCACTTGTTCAGGTCCCCTTTTTCAGTGGCCCCACACCACCAAACGAAATTTGAAGGACTTTTGACTTCTATGGATGGTATAAAAAACCCCAAAGAGCCGTTAGCCAAGATTGAAATAGATTAAAAGAACGATGTTCGGAGTACATCAGATTATCTGGAATTAAAAATAGTCCCTAGCGATAAATTCAGGATAACAACTCCGCTATTACTAAACAACTGAGAAAAATCCCCAGATTATCATACTGTAATCTGTGCCTGACTGACTTGGTTCTAATTTTTTGGCACCTGATTGATGATGAAATATGAAATCGTACAGGATAAATAATTGAGCAATCTTTGATGAGGATGGTGGATTCAGACATGAAGAAATGTAGCAAAAACAGCTTTCATTTAAGAACTTCGAACTTCTGGGGACCAGTAATCCATGAACAAGGTACTTGGGGCCGTCACTTGCCTCAGTGATACAGTAAGCAAGGCCTTTTAATGATTATAGGTAATACTTCTAACATCTGCCAAGTGTTAGGATTGTGCCTTGCATCTCGGAAATTTCCGAGACTGTTTGATCGAGTCTTCAGGCTTGTTGGGGTTTTTTAGATAGGATCGTGCATAGCGGCGCGGGGTTCAATGATCCTAAGATACCATAGCCTCAAGACGAAACGGATAAACATCGCCAAATAAAAACTGCCAGCTGGATATATTGAGGTGCGAACCTGAATAGTGAATGTGAGCATCTCGAATATCTACACTCACAGGGAAAGTAGTACACTGTTGTTTATGTTTGGGGGATAAACGAATCCTGTGTGAGACAGATAAGGAATGACATTTAAAAACTTCCATTCAAAACTTTCTAGGAAATAAATAACTTGACAATCTTTAGATTTTATGTTGAACATTTGAACTTCATCCTTCAGCATCACAATGACTGCCCAAGCTTTATTGTTTGGAACGACAACGGTGATGAAGTTGGTGCGATGTAGAATACATAGCAAAGCAATGTTCACATCATATCTTCGACTCCTACCAAGAGAAGACGATCAGTAGGAGTGTGCACGTGAAATGCAGGATGTGAGAATTTATCGCAAAGAAGAAGATTGACAGGGAAACATGATTAAATAAGCATAAATTCGACACGGCAAACTGCGCGTGAAGGTTTTCCAACACATCAATGTAAGAAAACAAACATTCATCAGAGTATCCTATACTCAAATAAATCATGATATATCTAGGAAAAGAAAGAATATAAAAATCCTTATTGAATCATTCGAGATACCAGGCCCTTAGCTGATATTTTCGTTACAGCTAGTACTGTAATAACGTGATTTCAAAAAATGTCAATAATCTTCCATCGCATCATAAACACCTAAATCCTCAAAAACCCAAACCCAAAGCCCAAAAATCTAAGCACTAACCTTACATCCCTCTCGATATCCAAAGCAGCTCCACCAATCCGCCCAAAAGCAGAACCACAAAGTAAAAGCTGAGATTCGTTCAAATTTCCAGAAAAATGTAAAATGTCAATTTCCTTACTCATGTACCAGACGGGACGAAGTCTGCGCGCAATAAACGTACTCAAGTAACCGCCGCCAAGTTATAAGACGGGTAGGGACCACATCTTGAGCACTGCTCATTTTTCGCGTCGATTTCTTCTTGACTTGACTTCTTTGAATGCATACTCTGTATGCTATCTCGATGACTCTGCTGAGAAGTCATCACATGCATCAGATGATTGAGATAGAAAATTAAATCGGAAGGATGGGAATTTTAGGTTGAGATGCGGGAAGACTTTTGATAAATGTGAGCGCGAAGTGGATCATTGAATTATGTGACTACGAGCGAGTACTTCATCACGTGGACGGAACGTCTCGTGGAATGCAACTCTGTGGCCCAAAAGTTAAAGATAGTTCAATTACGGATCCTTGATCAATAAATAATATAAAGATAGAATATTTTAAGGTTACATCAAGACCCATATAAATAAAACTCCGCTCAACACGTCCCCAAAGTCTTCGTGTCGTAGACTCGTAGCCGCCCAGAGGGAAATGAAGTGGGAACTGAAAAGCTGAGCTACCGGGCGGAAGAGACTGGGCGACTAATATGATGCACGTGATCCACTTGGTGCATTTGAAAATCTTCGGATGAATAGGCCCGAGGTTCAACGAAACAAACAACCAATCAATTGATGCACAATCGAGAGATCGTATACCCAACGAAACGTCTCGTTCTCGTTCTCGTTCTTGTCCAGCCTCTCAATTTCCAGGGCAGACACGGGAGCTCAACGGGAGGGAGTACTTTCGATGTACACTCGGTGAACGCAGTACAGCAATAACACTAAAGTGCTGCGACCCTTATCGTCGACCTCTTTATCTATCGACTTTAGCTGAAGTCTAAGCGCTTTTGGTTTTTCCATGCTCCAGAACCCACTTCTAGATAGTTCAGATGATGTACCCGGGACGAAATGTTACCTTGATATTCGGATTTGGTTATGCGAAGTGTTCAATTCCATGATGATTTCGGACAGTACCGTCTCGACCTATTTGTCTTGGAAGAGCGAGACGTCTCGATTCGGGCTTGAAGATACCTAATCTTAGATACCTAGTACCTAGGGCAATCTTAGATAGACCTCTTTTCGAGGCCGAAGTTTAAAGGCATGAATGAGCATGAAGCTGAAGCTGGCATTTCGTTGGGTATCTCGGATCCACGGTTCCTATCATCAAGATATTTCCGACTGTTCATCTGATAACAAGTATATGACGGAATATAGCCTTACCATATCAGATGGCAGATGTACATTATGGATCAGGGGTTGGCCCGTCCCACCTCTTCCCGACGAACTGTACAGAGAATAGTGAGTCAGAAGCTAGAAGCTCAAGGCATGCTGAAACTGTGAAACGTAGATCATGAAACAAGATAAACAAAAGGATTAGCATTTCAGAATCATAAGGTTAATCAATCAAACCAGCATCGAACATTCCAAAAGTTCAAAAATCAATAATATCCAATAATCTCCACGAAATACCCAAAACCCCAATCGATTCGTCCAAAAACCATGTATGGATTTTACCTTCCTTTACTTTACTATGCTCCGTATATATGCGGCGCGTCGGGAAAGAAAGAATACCAAGGATATTTCGAACGATCATTTCGCTTGTCGGCGTGTGTTTCTTCACCAATTATCTTCGAGAAGAGTCTTCATGATCAACACGACCCTAACACGTAACCGCCAGGTCTCCACTTCTTCAAACCCTATTCTGCATTCATTCTGCTTATTCATGGATTTTTGATGAGGAATTTACTAATTACGTGAAAAGTCGAAAGTCGAATTGATAATACTATTAATGCATAATGATGATAATTAAATATGAGCGCTTGGAAGTCGGCTGTGTAATTTGAAATGGGTAAAAGCGTCTGTCGCTCGCGGTAGTTGACTGGGAATCAATCATTTATGGAGTAGATAAAGTGGAGGAAGATCTTTTCTTTCTTTCTGGCTCCACAGTTGAATGAATGAATGAATGAATTATCGACTGGCTGACTGACTGACTGACTGACTGACTGACTGACTGACTGACTGACTGACTTATTGAAAATTATTCCGCGGTAAATCGTAATGGGTCGTCAATTCGGCCATTTAGCTGTCGCATAATGTGTAAATAGTTTCATTAAGCAGGCGCTGATTGACAAATGAGACGATGATTTATTCTTAGATGCTAAGGTACTTGAGTAGCAATATTGATGCCGGGACGTTGTGGTATTATCGTTCATTGTCGTTCATTACCGTTGTTGTGTACGAGTACTGGGTCTTCTGTACTTTGTACTCTGCAATGTTACGGTTACGGTTACTGTTACTGTTACTGTTACTGTTAGTTGTTTACTTCAGGTGACGCGGGCGCTTGAAGACATGTTCAAAGTTGGAGGCGGCATCGTGGTTTGTATTCATGCATTCATGTATGTCGGTACTTGCAAGGTTCCTCAAAGGTACAAAGGTAAGAAGATTCTTACTGAGCTAGTCATTAATTACCCGAACCGCGTCTTTGAACTTACTTTTCGCCGAGCGCCTCTATTCTGATCTCATTCTTGATAATTGATAATTGATAATTGATTTTTGATTGGTCTATTCTTATTTTCAATTGTGGAAATTATCAAATTCCCATGTAAAATACCATCCATCTCCCCGGAATGCCGGATCCACGACGGGAAGTTCTAAAAATGAGTCACTGACGTTGCATGCGGTAGTGCATCTAATGCTAATCCCAATTCGGATGAGAATTCATCCGGCGCCTGCTGAAGAACGAACCATATGGTCGAATCTTTTAGACCAAGAAACAGTAAGGTTGTCGTATCCACCATTGCATATCTCTGTCTCGTCTAGCTACATTTCTCCGCGTTTCGGATTATTTACATGCTTTTCTTTTTCATGCCCCTTGTCTGGATATCAAGATGATCCATGGACTGATCTAGGTATTGGATACTACTCCTCTACTCGTTTTCCATGAGGATAAGTACGGGTGCTCATCACCTCATATCTCTTTTTCACTTACTCAGTCTCATCTCATACTCTTTCTTTCGTTCTTCATTAGACATTCCTTCTGTCATCCAAAAAATAGTTTAGAAGAGCTGTGCTCATCGAGTCATCATATCATTTCTTGAATATTCTTCCGTCGATCTTGAAGTAATCAAAAATATCTGGAGCCGGCTCCTTCATCAAAATTTTAATCCTAGTGTTTTCGTAATAGACACAGACCATCTACCGCCCACTATCGTTTTACTCATATTTCTGTGTAAGTAAAGGATCAAATACTATCCGAGCACACGTGCTACTATGGCCTTGACTGACAATTTCATCTATACAGTCCGGTAGCAGATATGTCCTTTGATTATTCTTCATTCTCATTCGAGCCAACCACTCCTCCACAATTTGCATTTGAAGAGACTTTAACTAGTGCTCCATTCAGACTTGATCATTCTAGATCAAGTTCACAAGTGTCGATGTATTCTCGATCCTCGTCACCATCTGATTCTATCAGTATTACAAGTACCCGGAGGACGACCCCTGCGAGATCACCAATTAGACAACATGGCCCACTTCTTCTACCAAAAATCCGTCCACAAGATCAGGAGATTAGTGCCTCTCCCTCAACTTCAATGAGAGTAACCAAATCTTCAAAAAAGAGTGCTGCTGGCCATGCACTCAAACATAATAGGAGTTACACGAATCCCGAGAAAATCGTGTTTAACTCTGATATCTTCCCTTCCAGTACTCGCCCAATGTCGACTCTTTGCTCGCCAATGCATGCTGTTCAGTCTATTGAAAGTCAACATAGACGTTCCTCAAGTTCTAGTCTCGATGGTCAAACACTAGGCAAATATGGATTCCCAACATACCGTCAAATGCCAAACTACATTCAACAATCCCCAAATCTGTCAGTTATGGAATCATACTCACCACAACCACACGAGCGCTATCCTACCCCTGCACGTGAGCCATCTCCATTAGCTCAAAGCATCAACATAGATGACATCACCCCGACCCATCTCGACAATGGTTCAACCACCAACCTCGCCACCTACCTCACCTCTCAAAACCCAGCTCCAGCTCTCGTCCGTCAACTCAATATCCATGTTCGCGATACCAACGCCAAGCATTTCTGGTGGGATATCCGACAAATTCGACCCTGGACCTCTTTCAACACCGACACCATTTCCTCCATTCCTGGTTTCCACAGCCTTCTAAACTTGAGTCTCCCATCCAATATATTCCACCAACCATCTCGCGCCTGCTCCAACCCAGAAAACGAACAAGAACTTCAAAATATCTACACCCAATTCTACGCCACAAAATTAAACCACGCTCTTTCCATTTCTCAAGGAACACGCCATCTAATGATTCGTGCATCATCAGCCATGGCTCAAAAATCCGGTGATCCATCATACATCTCCAATTACACGGATGATGTTTCCAAACTCATCTACGGACGAGGATTAGGTCGCGTCGTCGGACTCGTCAAATCATTCGATCGCTGGAACACCGGTATGCGCGTCGAAGGGAATCATCGCAAAGTTGAATATCTCCGCGGTCTCGCCCATTTACACAAATGTATGCGAGAAAACAACTGTCGCTACGGATTCATCATGACAGAAATCGAACTTGTCGTAGTAAGAAACGGCTCAGAAAGTGTCCCCCACTTTGGTTACCTCGAAGTCCAAACCATCCAACTCGCCGCTCACTCTACTCCTCCTTGTACTTCCACTTCCTCATTCCCTCAACACGAAACATCAGATTCAAATGCTTATGAGAAACCTCTTAAAATGACAGCACTACTTGCTCTATGGTATCTTCATATGTTGGCACGTGATGAAATTCTCCCGGGACAATTGGGTTGGAAGACGGAGATTGGAGCCCCGGCTGAAGGGACCAGGAGGAAGATTTTACCGAAGGATGACTGGATTCCTGAACCGCAGTTGGCGGAGAAGAGGGAGGCGAAGAGGGGGAGGGGGTGGGTTTGGCCTGAGGAGAGTGTGGGGAGGAAGGAGTTGGGGAAGAGGGGGTTAGGTATTAGGTTTGGGGGTCCCTTTTGAGGGGTTGGGTTTGACGAGGGGTGGTGGAGGGCACTGGAAGGATGGAAAAGAAATAAAATAGAAAAGTACGGGTAAGTTATCTTTAGTTCATCAACGCATATATTAGGAGTTAGGTCAGGTTATGTTTGGAAATGTATTTGCATCGGATTGGAGTAACACAAGGAACGCAAATGATGATAATTTAATGGTTTATGCAGGCGTATCGGGGTGTTAGAGTTTCAGTTTTTAAATATTTTTATATAAATAAATAAATAATTGAATAAATATATATATATATATATATAAATAATATCTTCTTCTCTTTGATTTATTTGAAATATATTTCTCTTTTCAAAAAAAAAAATCTTTTTTTCTTTTTAATATTATATTTTATATAATAACTTCTTTTCAATTTATATATAATAATGTCACAATTCTTACTTTTTTATATAAAATAATAATATATATAAATAATCAATTTGAAATTATCAAAAGTGAAAATGTAATATATATTTATTATTCAAATTATAAAATATTATAAAATATTGATTTTTTTATTTCAAAATACCAAGGGCCTGTATCCCCGGACCCTGGCTTTTCAAGATAGTCTAATGAAAATTTATGATTTAAAAAGTTTATAATAAATTAAATATTAAATATATATCAGGGTGCAGGCGGAATATCGACTTGTTTTTAATAATTGAAAATTACACTATTTTATTTAAAAATAATAATTATAATATGATTTAATAGTATTATTTATAATAATGATAATAATAATGTTTTATATTATTATTATTATTACTATTATTATTATTATTTTGAATTAAATAAGATAAATTAAATGAATAGAGTTGAATTGAATTGAATAAGTTGAATGATTTTAATTGAGTTGAATTAAAAAAAACTTCAAGTCAGATTTGCTTGAGGTTAGTTATAAGGCTTACTTTGCCTTTTGTTAGATTTATTTACCGGGGTATTTACCGGGGTACTTACTGGGGTATTTTAGACCAATCAGATTATCAAGATCGCGACTCATTTAAGCGAGTTTCTCATTTTCTATCACCCACCAGGTAAACCTCGCGTACAGCAAGATTATGATGTCGGCAAGCCGACAAATATATATTTTTTTAAAAAAATATATTTTCTTTTATATTTTAAAAAATATATTTAAATACAAATACTTTTAATATATTGATCCCATTCCTAAATCGAAATTAAATATTAATTTTATTATTTATATTATTTGTTTTAATTATATACACCTTAGACGACTGTGCTAGTGTCAGCTGAAGTTGCCCAATGTTTAGTGCTATCAGGCCACAGGGTGGGGCTGGCCGGGTGGGGTGCCCAGGATGAGATGAAATTCGTTGAACAGCTGCGATAACCTGCCTTGTGATTTCAACTCAACCCCATTCAATTACCATCAATTCGTGATTGTTAACAAGAAATCCAAAATTATAAAATAAACAACCCAAACAGAGTAAGCCATGGATGCAATAAGTCAAACTCATCCATTGGTTTGGATTGATTGCGAGGTGTGTTTTATATTTGATTATTTACCACTTATATTGAAATTCTCGAGTTCGCAGACAAATTTTTCTCCCGAACTGGTAAAGCTGACGATGACATATAGATGACAGGACTCGATATTGAAAAGGATGTTATCATCGAAATATCATGTATAATTACGAACGGAAATTTGGAGATCTTGGATGAGGAAGGTTGGAGTGCTGTGATTCATCAGGATAAAGAGACGATGGATAAAATGGTTGGTAGCTTGTTCTTTTAGGCACAATTGGACAATTTCGCACATGTCTTCTCCTCTTGGGATCATTCGTTGTCAATCAAGGTGTGCATCTATGCTGACAGTCATCTTCCAACCACAGGACGAATGGTGTACCAAAACCCACGCCTCCACCGGTCTAACATCCGAAGTTCTCTCCTCTCGCACCACACCCGACTCAGCTGCGAACTCTCTCCTCTACTACATCAAAAAATACATCCCCCAACCTCGACGTGGAGTTCTGGCGGGAAATAGCGTGCACGCAGATAAAGCATTCCTGAGCAAAGGACCATACAAAAAAGTTATCGACCATTTACATTACAGAATCTTAGATGTGAGTAGTATCAACGAAGCAGCGAAGCGTTGGTGTGATCTAGATGTTTTGGTGGAGCAGCCGAGGAAAAAGAAGAACCATAGGGGTAGAGATGATATTGAAGAGAGTATTGAAGAGGCGAGATATTGGAAGGAGAGGGTTTTCAATAAAGCTAAGTGAAGCAGGTGCTGAGTTTGATGGACGAGATTTCACATGATGGATTGATGGTTTTGGTAAGGCTTTGGTATGGCTCTGATACGGATAATGGTCACCTTATTTGTGAGCTGGCTGATGAATAGATGGATGACGGCACAGAGAGATATGATTATCATTTGTGGAAAGCGATACCCCCAATGAAGGGGAGTTTATGGCATGGCTGCATTGCTACTCTAAGAAAGTTGTGGAAGCTATCACTATCGAGGGAATGAGTTCAAGGCAGGTTTACTTCAATTTAGTTCCCGTGAATAGCTTTACCCTGCCGATCATGGCGTGACGCTATTCTTTAGACGTCGTCAACGATTGGTTACTTTGTATAAACCATAGAACAGCTTCTAGTCCGAATAATCACCAAGTATTTAGCCTTATTCCAAGAAAAATTGATTGTTTATTAATGTGAGGTAATACTGGGAATAATTAACTACACCGCCCTCTCTATCAGGGCTTGCTTTGTACGGCAGAATGATCTGGCTGGTGGCAGAAACAACCCCTCATGTCCCAGTTTAAGAGGTCTCAACGCAATGCCCCACCTTAAACCCCACCCGAAAGCTAATATCAACACCGCTCGTTGAGCTTGCTTGTTGGCATTAAAACTAAAGCTTTCTTCTCCTTACTTTTCCTCGTGCTATTATACAATAATTTTGTCTTCACTTCACATCAATCTGCAATCATGAGTGTCCAGACTGCTACTTTGAAGCCTTTTACTGATCAGAAGCCGGGAACGTATGTACATTTTTGAAGCTTCAGTTCAGAACCCCACCTCTATTTTAACTTGACCAAGGTTTCCATTTTGCCAACACAAATACAAGCAAGGCTTGGATATTGAATCATCACCAAAAGCATGGAAATGAATCAAACAACAGAAATCATAGCTTGCTAATTCCTCACTTCCTAGTTCTGGTCTCCGTAAAAAGGTCGTTGTTTTCCAACAACCACATTACAGCGAATCTTTCGTCACATCAATCCTCCTTTCCATCCCTGAAGGTGTCAAGGACAGTTTCCTCGTTATTGGTGGTGATGGGCGTTACTGGAATCCAGAGGTGGTTCAGTTGATTGCAAAGATTGGTGCTGCGTATGGTGTGAAGAAGTTGTTGATTGGTCAGAATGGTATCTTGAGTACCCCGGCTGCGTCGCATATTATCAGGAAGAGAAAGGCTACCGGAGGTATCTTGTTGACTGCTAGTCATAATGCAGGTGGTATGTAATATTTCTTATTGTTTTAGGAGGGTGGGACAGCGGGATAGCAGGACAGGTGAAGGAAAGACGAGAGTGAGGTGGAAGGCATTGAAGATGACAGTCTGGCTAATAGATTGATTGACAGGTCCAAAGAATGATTTTGGTATCAAATACAACCTCGCAAATGGTGGACCAGCTCCCGAATCGGTCACAAACAAGATTTTCGAAGCATCAAAAACCCTTACCGAGTACAAGATTGCCGATATCCCAGAAGTCGACATTGCTACAATTGGTACAAAAACATATGGCTCGTTGGAGGTTGAAATTATCGACTCATGTGCCGACTATACTGAGATGTTGAAGGAAATCTTCGATTTCCCTCTCATTAAGAAATTCTTCCAAACACACACCGACTTCAAGGTCCTATTCGATGCCCTTTCGGGTGTTACTGGTCCTTATGGAAAGGCCATCTTCGAGACCGAATTGGGTCTTCCAAGTTCTAGCACCCAAAACTGCATTCCTTCTCCAGATTTTAATGGTGGTCATCCAGATCCTAACTTGACCTATGCCCACTCACTTGTTGAGGCTGTTGATAACGGAAAGATTCATTTTGGTGCTGCAAGTGATGGTGACGGAGATCGTAACATGATCTACGGAGCTAATGCATTCGTCTCTCCTGGTGACAGTCTTGCAATCATTGCTCACTACGCACAAACAATCCCATACTTTAAGAAACAAGGTGTTTACGGACTTGCCCGCAGTATGCCAACATCTGGAGCTGTTGATCTTGTTGCTAAAGCTCAAGGTCTTAACTGTTATGAAGTTCCTACTGGATGGAAGTTCTTCTGCGCTCTGTTCGACGCTGATAAACTTTCCATCTGTGGTGAGGAATCTTTCGGTACTGGATCAAACCATATCCGTGAAAAGGATGGTCTTTGGGCTGTCGTCGCTTGGTTGAATATTATCGCCGCTATTGGTGAGAAGGATCCAAGTGTTACCCCAAGTATTGCCAAGATTCAACAAGATTTCTGGACTATCTATGGTCGTACATTCTTCACTAGATACGATTATGAAGATGTTAGCAGTGAGGGTGCTGCAAAGGTTGTTAAGGATTTGAATACCAAGATTGAGGATCCATCGTTCATTGGTAGCAAGATTGGTGGTAAGTTTTTCGCATCTTATGTAACATGACAAAAGAGCTCACAAATTATTTTACAGACCGTACAGTCTCGGATGCTGGTGATTTCTCCTACACCGATCTCGACGGCAGCGTTTCCTCCAACCAAGGTCTCTACGTTAAATTCTCTGACGGATCTAGAATCGTCGTTCGTCTCAGTGGTACTGGCTCATCAGGTGCTACTATCAGACTGTACATCGAAAAACACACTAGCGACGAAAGTACTTATGGCCAAGATGCTCAAGTCTTCTTGAAGGATAATGTTGATTTTGCTGTTGAGCTTTTGAAGTTTAAGGAGTATATCGGTAGAACTGAACCAGACGTCAAGACTTAAGACTTTTGTCGGTTTGGGGGAGGAAAAATGATGAAGAGTATAGTTGTCGGATGGAATCCAGATGTGAATAATTAGTTAGCCAGCGTGCGTGCAGATATGATATCAATACAAAGTACAAAAGTTGTCATTTTGCAGTAGACGATACTGTCATTTATTTCATTATTATGGAACATTATTAAATTTGATATCCAATGCCCTAAAGTTCTAATATTCTTATCTAGCTATTAGCTATATCATAAGAATTTCAAACTTCCTTTATTTCGTTCGTAGGAAGCCACCGCGTGTCAATCTGACCCAACAAAGTGTCCGTCCGGCGTGCAATGTATCATCGTCCTCCCAGTCAATTATTGTCGGCTTGCTGACTCTATAACCTTGCTGTACACGAGGTTTACCCGGTGTAGTCGTAGAAAATGAGGTTCGCTTAAGGTTGATTTTGTCATTCGTAGCCGGGGATGGTGATGAATGTGATTTTTTTTTGTCTTTGGTGAACTAGAGCGCGAAGTCGATAAGTTTCCTATCTGGAAAGCCCAGGCAATTCAAGACATTTCATATCCATTACCTGCAGTAAATTACTTTATTGGAACGAGAATTCGTGTCCAGAAGTGGATGATTCGTTTGGCTAGTATCTCTATCTGTTTGGAAATACAAATCATAAGTACATTGGCTTTCATCGCAATATATTCAATAGCTTGCCGTATAAGAAAATAAAATTGAATAACTAGAAATAGCTTATAAGTTTTAGTTATGACTCGAAAAGTACAAATCATCATCGATATCTTGACTATCGGATCTTCACATCGACTGATTTCGGACATTGAACCATGCCTCCTCATCCTACTCATAGGAAAGACCTCCCTTACTTTTCGATTCTATTTCAAAGAAGGTATACGTATCTTACTTAAATATCAATTTATGGATAGAGTTTCCAGTGTTGTAAGATTACGGTAGTGTAATGGTGGTTTACATGAGGGCTATACTACGAATGGCGATATGTTGAAGTTCAATACCACCTACAGTTGTGTATAATCTAAAAGCAATGATACTGATGGTAGCAAGAATACCGGAAACATTATAAAGCTCACTGCCCGAGTTGGCTTGGAATATCTTCAAATATACAAGTTCCAGTATTCAGTATTTTCCCCATGGTATTTAACATTGGAACGATATTTAGTCGGAAACTCTGCTGAGAACGGAACTCGATATATATCACTAAAATGGAGCCCTTTTTAAATACGAAAATCATCCATTACAGCACTGGTAGTAGTATCAGCAAGGTCTAACATGTTTTTCATAAGGGTTGGCTGTTTTCATGCTTTGCTGGTGTTTGTGTAATATTCTCCCTCTATGTTCAACGATTGATATGGGCATTCATTTGATAAGAGTCTCGAAATAACCGATTGGTTGACAGTGTCTGCATGTGCATGTAAAGTTATGCATGTTATCGGCGATAAGAGAATAAATGTCATACTCCGCAGATTATATTTACTGACCTTTGACACAGAACCAAGCAGCTTGCTTCATTGGGCCCATATAAGAGTTCGTTATGACAAGAAAGCAGCCGATATCTACATTTGAATACCAGCCTTTAAATTCAGATCAACCGACAGCAATTCGAATTTTGGTTTTAAGTGGGGGTTGTGGCGATATTCCCATTGAGAGTTCGATCCTCAACATCGACTTGAGAGCTCCCCCAGTCACAGTAAAATATGAAGCGTTGTCATATGAGTGGAAAGAAGTTAGCTGCGATGATCCTTTCATACTTGTCAACAGCTGCAAATTTCAAATTCGAAAGAATTTGTACGATGTATTGATACAGTTGAGGTTCGTTGATAAAGATCGGTACCTATGGATAGATGCTCTGTGTATCGATCAGACGAATCACCTCGAGAGAAACAGCCAGGTACACATAATGCAGACAATCTACAGAAAAGCACAAAGAGTCATTCTCTGGCTGGGCCCCGCAAAAGATGACAGTGACCTTGCAATCGAAATTCTACAGATTATGGAAACTAGCCGTATTGGAGAAAGACAAATTGTGGAATCTACAAACAGAAATCGTAAGGCTTGGCGTGCAGCCCTCCTCGCCTTTTGTCAACGCTCATATTGGTGCCGTATCTGGATAATGCAGGAAATATGTCTTGGCCAGGAATATGTAGTACACTGTGGTGACAAAAGTATTTCAGGCAATATCTTCGACGAATCCTTCAAGAAGTTAACAAGATCGAGGGATCGTGGAGATGCTTGGAACGACGCCGTGAAAGAAACTCTGGCAGTCAGGCATATCACTATTTTTCGATATTGGGCACAAAGAGGACAACTCTTCCGCCTGGGACAGTGTCTGAACATTTGCTTGGATGATCTCATTGCCACAGAGCCTAGAGACTTTGTATATGGAATACGTGGTCTTGTTAGTGACTGTGGGACTGATGAGCTAGTTCCTGATTACCAAAAATCTCTAAAACATGTATTTTTCGACACAGTTCCTATTTTAGAACGGTCTTCCATTTCGTCAGTACAAGTTGCTAGTAAACTGGCGAAAAAGCTTGGCTTGACCGAGGACAATGATGTACAACTGTGCTTATTAGAAATGGAGGACGGTAACTATGAATTCGACAAGTCTCAAAGAACGATTCAGAAAGACTATCCTGGGGGAATGAGGAAGAGACTGCAGAGAAGAAACCGGAGGGGGACTGGAAATGGAAAGAGCGGCAAGATAGATTACGATTGGGAACTTGACCCAAAAGAAGCCGAATATTCAGACTTAGAGGACTGTGAAAGCGTAGAAAATTCTTCGGATGAAGCTTCTAGTTTGGAAGAGTGAAGAATTAGTATGGGGACGGGACATCATTGCCCTAGCGGTACGACATCCCTTCCTAACAGTACTTTGTTCAATCCAAGAGTTTCGCTAGGCAATTTTTTAACGCTGCTCACTGCTTCCAAAAAGTATTTACAATTCAGTCGGGAAGTGAGTGCTGCTTAAAAAAAGAAGCTTTGCACTTTAAATCAATCCGAAGCGTACCTCCCTCCTTTGGACCACATTTCGAGTAAAGAATACAGAACTTGTCGCATTTTGCTGGTAGCATGTATAATAGGGACTACTTACTTGTCCCTACAAGCTCCATGAGAAGCTTATAGAATAAGTGGCCTGTGGTAATCGACTGATGGAAGATGCTCAAAGCCTTTCCTTTGTACGTTCTTGCGAGAAGCCGAGATGCCCGTATCGAAGGGGATGATATGGAAGTGCGAAGAGTTTCTATAAGTCGATTCATTTTTGTGCAAGACTTTTTTTTCTCAAATGTGTTGGCTTAGCACGAAGTACGTTTCTGCTTTGTGACAGCTTGAAGAACAGAATTCGATATCAACAAAATCTGCCAATATTTGTGGAACAGTGAGAGGGCAATAGCAGCTTTGAAACAGTAATATCAAAGTATCACTATTATCTCCAATTTTTGCCAAAAATTTTGAATCTTAAGTATATATATAAGAGGAAAGTCTCGGTGTGCAAATCAATGGGCATACATTATCAGACATGCCAACAACAACCCCAAGAGAAAACCACCAGGCCAGGGAGATTTTTCACGAGGCGGTCCGAGTTGTTCTGCTTTTCGATAACTACTCCATACTGAATAGAGACGTGGGACTTTCAAGCATGGCTATTACTGGCAGGTCTGCACAGGACAAGTATCGCGTTCTTATGCTGGACTTCATGCAGTGTGTATTCCGAGAACTAGATTAAGTGGATAAACAATGGGACAAAAAAGGTGAAACTAGGATAAAGAAGGTGCGATTAGGCTGGTTATGAGACACATATTGAAGCAGCTTGACTATGATTTTTGGTTTGATCATTCCAACTATTTCTTGGAATGGGCGAAGGCAGAGTTTCCTTCAGATGAGGGTGAGAATGGCAAGAGTCTGGAGCCTGATACCATCAATATTCAGCTGCTGGTGTCGGTGCCAGGATAGAATATCGTGATAAGGCGTAAGAGTTAGCTTCAAGGGATAGTCCTATGTTCAAATACATCGAGGCTTTTAGCTGTAAGTTTTAGAAGTGATTCATGTGACATAGTCTAGCCTGTCATTCATGTCATGACGAATAAAGAGCATCATACCCCTCAAAATTTAACCCTTTGAGCTCTTTCTTTACATGAGCTAGATAAAATTATTTTTTTCGCACATTATATCCAACAGACAAAGGCCAGAAATTTCCCCACGATGTTCCAATTCAGATGCTCCCAAGTCCTGTCTCTCCTAATCATCAAAACCTTGTATGAGGAATTATTACAACAAATTGCTAGTTATAACATTTTTGAGGTTATTCCCAATACCCTTCCGCATCAACCGCATCCCACAGAATTGAATCCGACGACACAACATCTAATCAGCTGATTCACAAAGTATTTCAGTAAGAAACAAACGGGAATGACCGAGTTGAAACTTCTTGTCGCATTAACTCCAATCAAATCTATCTAGCTGCCTTTCATATGCACAAACAAGATGGAACCGAAGCAAGCACTAGTATTATTCTGACACCAATACCGCGAGCGTACCATTTGATGCGGATTTGCTTCCATACCCCGTAAAGGTTATTTTCAAATTTTGAGATACATATTAGTGAAATATAGGTTCTCTAACTTTAACTCCAAATCATAAAATCCAGCAAACGAATGTATGAATATCCCAGACCTAGACCCGCTCAATCTTACAGAGAAGAATGACGTGAGATGATTCCTTATATTCGATCCCAGAAATCATTAACATGTCAATTTCTATGCTTGGAGGTAGAAGCGAAGAGTATTTTATGCCATTCGTAATCCTTGATACCTCCAATATTATTCATTTAGACGGCTGGCAATCTCGGGCCTTGTGCTTGTAAGATATTACTATCGAGATTTAGTAAAAAATTAATTCTCTCGATGCAAAACCTGACTCCATGATACTTTAACCGCTGGTCAAGTACCCCTCTTAACATCTTCTCCTTCCGCCTCAAACATGAAGAAAGTTCCAAAGTTCCGCGCACCTTTTCGTATCCTTCGCTCCTTTCTCTTTTTGATTAACCGCAATTCATCAAAAGCATCTATTTAGACAAACAATGAACAATGGTTGTTCCCTTACAATCCAGGAACATCATACAAACTCTTTAAATTCCTCTACTTGAAAAGGGAAGATAAATCGAAAAATCGAGTTAACATCTTGTTACAATGGTAACAGCTGACTTGTTTTCGTAAGCTGAGGCCTTGTACAAATCGGATCTTATTCGATCAAATTAGTATAAGATTTAGATCATCCTAGAATCTTAGATATATATATCATCAGAATACGAAAACAGGTATACCAGGGGCCTGCGCCCCCCGGACCCCTGGCTTTTTGAGAAAGTCTAATAAAAATTTAAGTTTTAAAAATTTTATAATAAATTTAAATATTGAATATATATCAGAGTGCAGGTAGAATATCGGCTTGTTTTTAATAATTGAAAATTAAAATATTTTATTTAAAAATAATGATTATAATATAATTTAACATTATTATTTATAATATTTATAATAATAATAATAGTATTTTATATTATTATTATTATTATTATTATTATTATTATTATTATTATTATTTTGAATTGAATAAGACGAATTGAATGAATAAAATTGAATTGAATGAGTTGAATGATTTCAATTGAATTGTGAATTGAGTTGAATTGAAAAAAGCTCCAAGTCAGATTTGCCTAAGGTTGTAAGGCTTATGCCAAGCTTTTTGTTAGATTTTTTACCGGGGTATTTTAGATCAATCAGATTGTCAGGATCGCGACTCATTTCTCGACCAATCATATCGCAAGTTCTTAACCTTCCGCAGGTATTGGTTTCTAGAAATCGGAAGTTCGTTCTTGCGATCAATGCATGACCGTTTTATCCTCCATTCTGCAAACTTAGTTTCACACTAAATTCAATTCCCGTCCACGCTACTTTTCCATGTCCCTCAACCGATTTATAGAAAACATCTGCAAAGACGACTCTGCAATCTTCCCACACCCGAGAGATTCGTATAATGTAGATACAATTGATTGGCTTCGAGGCTGGATTGAGAATGCGAAACATGTAAACCAAGGATAAGGTGTTCGCTGTTGGTGAGGAAGGATTTCGATATTTTGCGAAGAAAGTCGAAGTACGATTGGTTTGCAGCAATATTTAGGTACAAAGTTCTTGCCTCTGTGTATTACCATTGTAAATTCTTCCTTCGTTCAATACCTGCTTGTGTTCTTTTTGCATAGTACTCGATTCGGTCTTCTTTCGATAGCTTTTTCTTCAAGTTTTGGTATGGTTATCGGTTTCCTTGGGCTTTTGCTACCACGTAATGCTAAAAATTCTCTAATATCTGTCTTCTTCCTTCCTTAGAATCCCGCGCATGTCTATGAATATGTATCTTCTTATGCCGTATACTGTACGAGTTCCTGTCGGGCTTCAGACAAGCTGTGATTTAGGTATCGGACTCGGCGTCGCATATTTCTTCGCTTTCTTTTCTCCTCAATGATCTGCATTAATGACACCGTGTCAGTATTGTTTGATCAGTTCATCCACATTCTAGGGAATTAGATATGAAGTAATTTGATCCCATGTAATAATACCGTTCGTTGCTAAATGACATTCTCTGTCCAAATTTTGCACTCCTGCATTTCATCTAGGCGGACTATTAACCGAAGCAAAAGTGCTTTTGGGACCATTGTACACTTTTCTTATACATTGTCCTTCGTTCTAATACGTTCTCTCTGTTCCGTCTAGTTCGACCGAGCCTTGAGTTTGTGGCAGCGTATGAGATTTATTTAGCTTAGATTCGTCGTGCATTGGGTATTAGATTCCGAATACCTGTGACTCATATTAATACAAATAGAAGTACTATAGAAGAATTTTTTGACTCTGATTATTGGAATTGCCACTAATAAAGTCGATCTCCACGTTTAGATCTTAATTAACCCAGGTCATATTTCGATATGTGCAGTGTTCTGTGTTATGTGTTCGTACCTTGGATGGATCGAACAGTCTCGGTGCTCGAAAGACTCCCGGAGTCTGTTTATTACTTTTATTTTTCCTGTGATTATTCTAGCTTCGAGGCTTTAAAGACCTTTCTCACATGAATTATATCCAAAAATTGACTTGGATGGTCATCAGCATTGAATGTCAAGGAAATCCTCAAGTACAGAAGGACTGCAATTAGATTGATATTGTAGGTAATTTCTTTCTTACACAACTGAAGGGTAAGTCTGGTATCTCCACAGAAGTGAGGAAACTGCGAATATACTTTTTCTCGCCACCCTATGCACCTGCCATAGAAAGAACCCTTGGCCCATGCCACAATCCACCGTGATAAAATACTATCTATTGCAACACCACATTTGAGCAATAACTCATAGTAATATATCCTTTTTCTATTCCTCTGATAAAAAGTCAATATGCCATGTAACATCTACATCTTGATCTTCACTTCATGTTCGTGAGTCTGTACAGGCGTGACATATCAAAATATTCTTCCAATCACATTTTAAATTCATGCACGATTCAAACTGGTTTCTAGAGTATCAAATAGCATGATTGCTAAAGTATCGTTTGATTCTAAGCAGCCAATACCTTTCCCCGGAGTATTTTCTTTTGAACTGACCATGTCATGCAACCATGTAGTTCATTCTCCTCAGTCAATGCTGTCGCCTGGACTACAGTTTTACATGATCCAGGAGGCATTCAGTCAGTGAACTATTGGAAATTTTTCTCCAAGCTTCCCTCATAATGTACATTAACTCAAAATGGACATGTTTGTCCTGTTTGTTTCAAATCGACTAAAGGCGCTAAAAAAGTTAACAGAATTTTCAAAGGTATAAAAGAGGTCGATTATCCCACTTCAATTCTCTTTTCTTCTTCAGCATTAGAGTTTGCTTCGGGGTCAAGTTTACTTGATAGGAGGTGGTGGCTCGAGCTTTCTCCAGTGTTCACCTGTAAGTTATTACCGCCTTGATTTCATGTTAACTTTCAATACAGAATACGAACAATCCGACGAGATGGAACGGAGGAAGCCAGTTTGTACAGGCGGCAGGTAGTCTTATCTGTTCGGGTAAAATGCAAGCTGGTGGTGGAATGGGGGTAAGGCGGGTGTAAGTGGCCTCAGATCGTACAGGCAGTAGACAGGCTTGTCTATGCAGGTCAAATGCGATCCGGGTGGGAGGGCATTGAAAATCTGGCTTTATGCTGGAGTTCGAAGCCTTTCTTACATAATTGGAAAACTAGGTAGTTACATATTCGGCCTTGCGCTGGTATGTGACTCTAGTATGCAAGTCTAGTGTCTAGTGTATCTCGTAGTCAAATTAGTTAGACTAGTATGTTCTCATTTCTCGTGGGACCTAATCCAATTAAGTAAAGATTTTTCA